CTCTTGCTGTGCAAGCAAATCATTTTACTCCCGTGTGCTTTAGTTTGTCTGTCCATTAAATTTGTATAATGGCACATACTAGAGCTGAGAAACACTGGAACAAGTTTTCCATGAACACATAAATGGATTTGTGTGTGCAATGCTCATGTCCCTACAGTTGTTGCTTGCCACAAACATTCCTGTGATAAAAAATTTCCCGGCACAAATATTCACCCCCACCACATTTTTAATACAGATGTCGTACTTGGGCACTCATTCAATCAGAGAACAGCAATAAATACCATGTGACTTATTTGACCAAGCACAATTCCTCGACCCAGTTCAACTATTGAATGCTTACAAAGAACTGTTCACCAAAGACTTTTTTAAAACTGCCAACAAAAAATAGCTCATCATAATTTCAAAAAAGTAATACATTTTCATTCTGTTTGTGGATAGCCTCATTTCCTGCCCGATAGGCTAAGTTCAGCTGTTAGATGTACTTGAGTCACAGGGTATTATGAAGATTAATTAGTTATGTAAGAGCAATGCTTTGAAGATGTATCAAACTTGTTTCAAAGCCAGTTACAGCCAGTGGAAAGATCATCACTTTAAGGGGCTTTGGATCAGGCCCTTGTATGAATGCTAAGTATTAGTAGTCTTACATTGAAGATATTTTCAAAAATCCAAACAGCTACCAAGACTGAAATATGGCATCACTTAGAAGACTAAAGCAAATATGTGAGTCTATGCACATACACGAGTGTGCACCCATGCCCACACACACATACACACAAAATCTTTAATGAAAGGTCACGAAGAAAAGTTTTAATTCAGAACAATTAACATCCCAGATTTATTCACCTGTAGAAGGCATAAACATATATTATCCATTTACTGTGCTGTTAATATTGAACAAATTTGAAAACATATTGGTCCATGGAAGAGACTGTTTCATATTTTATGGACATTCCTTGGATTAAAAATAGACCAAGAGGGTCGCAACTCAAGTACATGCTTTCAAAGCAAGTATTGCACAAATTGCACAAGAATAAGGATTTAAATTGTACAGCACAGATTCACTTGACAGTGCCTCAATTTAAATTACTGACAAATATAATTTGTCATTATTCTTGTTTAATCACACTAAATTCCTTTTTTACTACAATAAATGCATTTAGATTATTTATCTTGGATACTTTTCCTTCTCAAAGTGCATATTAGGGACTCTGGCCCAGAAACATAAATCCAACTATCTATTAAAACAAACATAAGGTATTTGACCATGTTTACATTCATTACCCCATGTGGAAACCTAAAATAATTCAGTGTAATGAAGCACTGCAAATCCATTTGATTTTATTCCATTGCCTAAGATGGAAAATAAAACTTGTAGCATGCCCAGCACGTGGGAGGCCATAGAGAGGAGATCATTTCTCAGCACTCACTAGCAATGCCGAATTGTGAATGCATGCCACACATGGGCTCTTAAAGATGCTATGTGTAGCCTGGCTCACTGGTGCAGCTGCCACCAATGTGGGAAGCCTTTGAAGGTGAGGCTTTGAAAAGGGAGTGGCCTGATTAATATTGTGTAAACCAAAAAATCAGTTGTTGCCAAGTGTTCTTCTCTCACTTCCACCAGTTTTATGCCAGTATAACACCAGTCACACCCATTGCGTTATTACAGGTTGACTGCAAGGTAAGTGAAAGGAGGATTGGTTCCGCTGTTTGTACCTAAACCTGTGCTGTTTTGAATCCAAAGTTTATTTTTGCGTACTTGTATAACGGACATGGAAATTATGGTGCTTGTTTTCAATTTTCACTCTGAAGGAATCTGCTGGCTGTTGGGTTTAGTGTAGGGATTTGAGCGCTTTATTTTTTTCTGCCCTAATCTAGCAGGGATATTTAATATCGGTTATTTTGTTCAGAGCCCTGATTGCAATTTATGTATCTTTCTACACTGGAGTGAAGCTTCTGGAAATGCCAGGTCACTGGACAAACCATCATAGAACTTAGCCAGGCCCGTGCTGGGGGATGGCACACGGAGCTGACCCTTTCATGGCCTGTGTAAAGACCGGGCAGAATTCCAGTTGCTTTACCTAGGGGAGCGTAGGGACTGCTCTGACCCTGTATCCATGGGAATGTAAAGCACTCTCAAGGGGGCAGGGTCATGGTTCCACCTTCACCTCATTCCATAAAACTGGCCAGCCACACAGAGGTAGGCAAGCCACAGGCTAGAAAGGGAATATGAGCAGGAGTACACCCTGGGCATACCTGGAAGGTCTCAGAGCTCCCTCTGGCCAGGGCAGCTCTGCACTGTTCCTCAGAGCCAGGCCAAGCTGACAAGACACAATCAAGGTCTTACTAACTGTTACTAAATGGCATCCAAGAGCAGATGGGGGGAAATGGCCTTCGGGTGACTAAAAGAAATATTGGGAGCTACATTTCAAACAGGTTGGTGCTGTTCAGTAAGCCTCATAAAGACAATACTTGGCATTCACTCCACACAAACACTACTACATGCTGGAAAAAAAATCTTGGCCTTACTCTTTGGAGCCCCAGAGGTGGGCAAAGCAGAAGGGTACAGGGGTGCTGAGTAGAGCTGAGGAACGTATTCCCAGCCATTCATCTCTTCAATGACAATGACTCCTTTGCTGTGTCTGACTTACCTGCTGGTACCCATTTCTCTGACATTCAACCACTGGGTGAATGGTTTGGGAGAACATTTCAGCCCTTGATTTGCTTGCAGGCTATTTAGCATACCTATTGCTTCATGTTATTTGCTATTCATGCGAAGTGACTGGTCATGTAGGTCACGTGGTGCAGGTCCTGCTTCCCGACCACTTCCAAGCCCACTGATAGCTTTAAAGATAGCCAAACCGCCCTTCCCAGAGCAAATGCTTGAGTGTATGGACATTCAAGCACGCACAACGCTCTTTCCAGGAACTTTCTTCCAAATCAAAATCTGCTTGTGTGAATGATCATGGGAAGCAAATCAAACTTGGCTGGAAATGCCAGCGGAACAGAGTCAGATTTATGTGACCACTTCAGCAGCAGTCAAACACAGATGGGGCCCAGATGCAGAGGCTGGCTCAGCATGGGCATGGAGCAGCAGGAGCCTGCCTGGTGAGCCATTCTTTAGGCCTTTAAGCAGTAGCAGCAAGGCAGTATGCATGCCCACCTACTGTCTGCTCTATACCCCATCTTGTGCACAGGTGAGAATCTGGGGCCTGACTAGATTTCATTGGAGCCACAGCCAAGGTGCACACACGTGTTGGCTCCTCCCCCTCTCTAATGCTCTCTGAAGTCCAATCCTGACCTGCTGCTCTGGATGTTGAAGGGAAAAAAATTTCCTCTCTATGGCCCATTTTCTCCACTAATGGATGCATGCAACAGAGGGAAGGAATTGCTCGTACAGCCCCCAATTCTGCCCTCCATTAGATAGCACAGTTCCGATTGGCTTCAATGAGAGTGGCACCATCGATGTGTGAGATCAGAATTGGTCTTCTTATTGTTATTACTATCATTTACTATTTACATTACACTGCCACCTTGATGCTCCAATCAGAATCCAGGCCTTATTGTGCTGGGGAACCACATATACATACATGAGGACATAACCATTGTCTTGAAGAGTTTACAATCTATAAATGCAATTGACACCCAAAAGATGTGTGTGTGGGGAGGATACAATCACATATATACAATTTTATATACATACGTACATTGCACTTTCTATTATTATACATAAAGTGCCAGCTAGCCTCCTCCTCCCTTCAAGCTAGTCATCACAAACCACTGAGTTCTTTGGGGGCAGGGGAATTTAAGTTCAACCAATGTAAGAATTCTCTGTAGTTCAAAAAGAAATTCATGACAGCTGTGGAAAGTTCCTTATTATTTTTGTCATCATAATTATAAAGTAGTGTGATTTCCTACACTAGCTCTGTAAGCTTAGTTCAGTTATCTGTTGCACATTCCGGAGCTGGTCTAGTAAACAAACAGATGGTTATGCTACTCATCAAGTCAAATGAAGATGAGGAGGGAATGTCCCAACCCACACAAATCCACAGTGATTTGTAAAAAAAATGTTACTAAAATAAGATCATTGAAGGAACTGCAGAGGATGCTCAGACGTGTCTTTCTCCCCCATCCAGGGATTGTATCGAAGGCAAGATAATTATGTCCAGCTTTAGAGCATTCTGGGAAACATCAAGCAAAGTATTAGTTGTATGGTAAACAGGTACATTAAAGATTGTGAGGTGCTTGGCTACTAGTGTAATATGAGCCATACAAGTTCAGAGAGAGAGAGAGAGAGAGAGAGAGAGAGAGCACAAGCAGAAACACAGGGGCTGACTATTGCTATAGCTCCATAATATCAAAATCAGTTGAAGTGTTCTGGCCAGTGGCTACCACTCTTGCTCATTTACTCACTTCCTCCATTGTCACCCCCTCAACCACCACCACTCGGCCACGGCCACCCCCTCAGTCACTGCCACTACCTCCATTGCTGCTACCTCAGCCATCTCCTCTACATTCATTGTGACTTTATCCAGGGCCGGCTCTAGGCACCAGCAAAACAAGCTGGTGCTTGGGGCGGCACATTTTTAGGGGCGGCATGGCTGGCGCCAGAATGCCGCCCCTAAAAATGTGCCCCGGCCGCCCTAGCTCACCTCCGCTGCTGCTGCCACGGCGCGCGAAACAGCTGATTCGTGCGCCGCTACTCGCCCTCCCTCCCAGGCTCTCAAACCTGGGAGGGAGGGGGAGATCCCGAGCGGCCGCGGGGCGCGAAACAGCTGTTTCACGCGCCGCTGCTCCCCCTCCCTCTCAGACTTGAGAGCCTGGGAGGGAGGAGGCAGGGCTGGGCATTTGGGGAAGGGGAGGAGTTGAGGCGGGGCCGGGGGGGGGGCGCCCAAAATTGTTTTTGCCTTGGGCGGCAAAAATCCTAGACTTTATCTATTGCCTCTTCAGCCATAAGTACATTTTTTCCTATACATAGTCCCAGTGTAACCAATGGCACTACCCATGGACGACTCAGTGTGAATGAAGGTATGAGACACAGACATTAAACAGAGCTGTGAATGTTCATGATCCACTCAAAGTCACTTTTGACTTTGCAATAAAAACCCTTAGGAAACCCTTGAAGTGAAAGTGAAGAATATAATAAATGGTGGAAGAAAATCATGGCTATCTATCTCCTCCCTGTATTTCACCATTCAGTAGAGCTGGTGCTTTGATAGCACTAGCCTAGGTACTGCAGCCTTGGACACCTTACAAAGGAATGTAATAAAAGTAAAATCAATTCCTCTTTTAGGTACCAATCTGGCTCATACAGATACTCACCATGTGCCACAGAGCCCCTTAGTTTCTCTCTTCTATAATGGACGTTTCTGTGGTGTCTGTCTTTATATGTGCAAGGCTTTCTTCCTTGTGCTGGACTTCAAGCAGATCCGTAAGCCCATGAATCCCTTGTGGATATTCGGCCAAAGTCTCTGTCTTTCCTATTTTTATTTTTTCATTTGTGTCTAATTGTTTCAGTGTGATTTTCTCCTCCATTGTCTCCATCTCTTGCTCCTCCGTTCTGTCATTCCCACCAGTGTGTCTCACTTTTGCCATTATCTCTTCCACAAGGACTGCTTCCTTCTCCACTACATCTGGGTGATATGCCATTTCCTGTGTCATGCCTTCTACCTCAGATGCTGCTTCCACAGCTTCCACTTCATCCCTCAGAGATGATGGTGTCATCAATTTCTCCACCTCAGGCAATGTTCTCTCTGATCTCATATCTTCTTCGGGTATTATCCCCTCTGTCATCACCTTCTGCTCTTCCAGTCCTGCCTCCTCCTCTTCCATGCCCTCCTCATGTCCTGGGTCCTCTGTCTGCACCTCCCAGTCTGATAATACTTCTGCATTTTCTTTCTGACCAGGTTCTGATTTCTCTACTATCTCCTCCCCTTGTGATGGTGTTTCATTGCCCATTACTTTCCCATTGCCTGCTGCGTCCACTGACATTGCCTCTTCAGATTCTATTTCTGACATTCGCTCTCCCTCTCTCTCTGCTGATTCCTCAGCCACCCCCTCACCCACCTCCACTTCCTCCATTGCCATCCCCTCAGTTACCACCACACCCTCCACTGCTGCTCCCTCAGCCACTTCCTCTACATTTATTGTGGATTTATCTGTTGCCTCTTCAGCAATAGGTACCTTTTTTTCTATTACCAACTTCTTTTCAGTAACTGCTATTTGAGACACCACCTTCTCTTCCGTTTCCTCTGTCACTTCCTCCTCACCAGCCTTCACCAATTCTTCTCCCATATATGGTGTTTCCTCAGGCACTGACTCCCCTATGTGTTTACCTTCTTCTACTACCTCCTCTTCAGATTCTGGGTCTTCTGCTGCTTCTTCCTCTTCAGATGCTTCCACTATGCTCTCCCCATCTTTGTGTGCTCCTTCCTCTATTGCAGTGTCCCTTTTTATTTCCCTGTCCAATGAGGTTTCTTCCCTCAGAGGTGGTGATTCCTCTACTTCTGACTCCTCTTCTGTGGCCTCATTTCTTGTCTCTCCCTCCTCTGGGGTTGTTTCCATTACATCATCCTCCTCCTCCTCAGATGTTTCTGCTGCTGCTGCCTCCTCCGCTTCAGACACTGCTTCACCGATGGGAACCTTTCTTGATTCTACTGATTCCTCTATTTCAGTTGCTGCTCCCAGTATGGGAACCTTCACTGATTCTACTGACTCCTCCAGAACAAATTCTGTCTCTCCCATAGTCTCCCATCCCTCAGAAGCTGCCTCCTGCACAACCTCCTCTCCTTCCAATTCTATCCCCTCTGCAACTTCCTTTCCTGCGGCGTCTGCCTTCTCCACAGCCTTCTCTCCCTCCGATTCTGCCTCCTCCACAGCCTCCTCTGCCTCAGATGCTGCCTCCCCCACATCTTCCTTTCCCACACCTCCTGCCATCCCCACAGCCTCCTCTGCCTCAGATTCTGCTTCCTCCACAGCCTCAGGCACCTCCTCAACAACCTCCTCTCCTTCAGATGATACTTCCTCCACCACCTTTCCCTCATATGCTGCCTTTTCCACTGCCTCCTCTCCTTCATTTACGTCTTCCTCCACAGCTACATTTCCCTCAGATGCCTCCTCTCCCTGAAATGCCATTTCCTTTCCTACCCTACTCTCTTCCAGATCTTCTTCCATTATAGCCTTCTCCTCAGATGCTTCTTCTTTTACTGTAAGTACATTCTCCACTGTCTGTCCCATCACAGTTGCTGCTTCTTTCTTAGCCAGTAAATCTAACTCCAGAGCTGTTTCATTGCCTGCCTCTTCAGTGTCAGTGGCTCCTTCCTCAGCTACAAACTCCTCCTGCTCAAGTGCTTTTTCCTCATCCACCATCTGCCCCTCTTGTACCCCTTGCTCTGCTGCCTTCTGCTTTTCACATGCTGTTGCTGCTTCTGCCAAGAAGGCTCCATCTGAGGAAATAATCAAAACATTAGTTTTATTGTAATAAATACGTTAATTTTAAGGCTTTTTATGAAGTGATTATTAGAGATGCCATTGTTCCAAATCAGTGAAAGGATTTTAGGCTGGGCAATGTAGGGGGGAAACTTGGCCTGCTGCTTCCCAGGATGCACCTGTCCTGTGGCTGTTTCCAGTGCTGTCATTCTGGCATCAGGCACAAATAATTGAAACAAAAATGATGTTGCATGGCCCAGAAGTGACCTCAGGGTACATAGAGGAAGTAGCCATAGGCTTGGCACGGAGATTTAAATATGCAGAAATAGGTCATGCAAAATAAGCATGTACAGGAGACAGAATATACATCTGTGCATGCAAAATGGGTAATGATTTATGCACGTTTGGGGCCTGATCCTATCCTCTTTGCAGTCAATGGCCAAAGCTTTCATTGAATTCAGTGGTGCAGGATCAAGCCTTTGGCAAGCACAATTACCTATTTGTGCCAGTGCCCCTGTGCCTGGACACATTATTCAGGATCTGGTCATATTTTTGGAAAAACTGGCCCTAAATGTCATTGAAGTGAATAAAAGAGTCATGCTTTCCAGACACTGTGCTCTGGTGGGACATATGAGAAATCCAAAGTGGGGGAAAGGCCACCTTGCCCATAATACCTGCCTTTATTTGATTTATTCCACTGTCACCTTCTTATATTTCCACAACCCTCAGTCACTGTCTTCTTTAGCCTGGCTGGGCCTAAACATGTGTTCATGCTGCATCAGCCCATCTCTAAAATGTCTACCTAGAGATGGTTCAGATCCCTGGCCTGAAGCACATTGCTCTGTGGGCCACAGCCTTGGCACAGGAAGATGGATAGGTTCTCACCTTCCCCATTTGGCTCTCCCAGGACCTTCCGCCAGCCTAGCCAACTTCCTAACATCACTTTCCTCACTCTATATCAGCACTGACCCAAGAGAGGAATCAGTGGATGAACCCACATGGCTGCAGTGTTTCGTCCTGTCCTGCAGGTGGCATTGAACTCAGGAGGCTAGAGTTTACTGCTGTAAGCAGGTCCATTTGAGCAGAAACCAGGGGAAGCATTGTGCAGCTGGAGAGTCTGAGAGCAGACGGGGAACAGGGTGGCAGTGATAGAACAGGTGAGAAAGGGAGTGCCCTGGAGTGGACAGAGAAGAGGGCAAGTGTAAAAAATCAGGATACTTTTTTTGGGGGGGAGGAGGGGATATAGTCGCGTATATAAGACAAAGCCCCTAATGTCGAGATGATCCCGATACTATTGGGACATCTGGTCACCCTAGACAGAGATCAGGGATGGGTGGAGGAAGAGAGAGAGAAAAGGGGGTTGAGTTGGAGGGCGTGCAAGAGAGAAATCTAAATAAAAATCAATTGAAGCAGCAGCACTTTTTTCCTCTCAGCTGACCACACATAATATGATCTCTAGTCATGTGACTAATACAGCTTAAACCCCCCACATTGCACTTTGCTACCTGACAGAAATCCTGCCCTCCATCCTCCGTCAATACCCTCTCAGATAGATGTGCTTTGCAGTGAGTTGATTATTTATATTTACTGCCAGCTTCCTCATTTTTATATGTCCCTCGGGTTTTAGACTTTTAGCAGTGTTAAAAAATACCTGCCTCTCCATTCATTTATCAATCCCCATCATAATTTATAGAAAAAGGGGCTCAGACCAAAAATACCAAATCCAGGCACTCCTGAATTTGGGTCACTTCAAATCTTCATCCAAACTCAGTCCAATTGCCAATAATTCTTAAAATGTCTAATAAATCATCTTTAAGTTTCATTTGCAGAGTGAATAATGACTTATGTCATGTGCTGCACCCTCTTTGAGGCAATAATCTCCTTCCTATTTTACTAAATGGTAGCTGGCACTGGACAAAGTATTCTGGGTTGGAAGTAGCTAATACAATAACCCTTTTTCTTTTCCTCTGCTAATGTGAACCTGAACCCTTATGTGAAAAAATACTGTATGCTATGAGTACAATGAATGATGATAGTTTAGTGCAGGGGTAGGCAACCTATGGCACGTGTGCCGAAGGCGGCACGCAAGCTGATTTTCAGTGGCACTCACACTGCCTGGGTTCTGGCCACTGGTCCGGGGGGCTCTGCATTTTAATTTAATTTTAAATGAAGCTTCTTAAACATTTTGAAAACCTTATTTACTTTACATACAACAATAGTTTAGTTATATATTATAGATTTATAGAAAGAGACCTTTCTGGCACGCAAAACCTTAAATTAGAGTGAATAAATGAAGACTCGGCACACCACTTCTGAAAGGTTGCCGACCCCTGGTTTAGTGTCATCATCGCCCAATTATAACAGATTGGTGATGCATTCAGTTTTGTTCACTGCAGTCAGCATATTCCACCTCCTTTCCTCCTCTGTTAAAAGAGCTTGTAGAGAGTAATTGATATGCAATTGATCCATGGGACAGAGGCTGCTAATATTTGATTTTCAATGCAGAAAAAATAAACTGTATGTATTTATGAAAAATAGCATTTAAAAACAGTCAGCTGGGTGTTCCATGAGCGGGGGTCCCTCTCCAAAGAATAGCTTTCATTCGGAATGTATCTCATTCAAAAGAGCAACTGGCATTACACAGCTGGGCAGAGCAGGCTAGGGCAGGGCAGAGCTCTGCCACCTGCAACATGCACATATACGCTTCACCACCTGCAACACGCATATATGCACACCCATATACGCTTCAGCTATCATCTTAGCCACAGAACGAGCTGTGAAGTGCATTGTAGGCAAAGTCAGGTCTAGAAAGTGTCTCTAGTTCTGATCCTGTTCCAGTCTGGTCACCTGTTTGACAGCAATTAGCTCATATTGAAACATGGCTCCTTTGTACAACTGGGATGAAACCCTGAGGGTCTGATTCTGAGCTCATGCTGGTCTACATCAGTGTCACTCCATTGACTTCAAAGGCATTCTCTGTGATGTGAGAATAGAGTCAGGCCCAGTCAGAGAATGTTTTATTTCCTGGCTGAGGCTGCAAAGCACAACTGGAGTGTCTGAATGCAGCAATACAGCTCTTTGAAACCACTTTGTTCCCGGAGGCAACACAACTAACCAGCAACTAATATTATATTGAGTTAGGAAATGGACAAAATCCAGGTATGAACATATGCTCTTTCAATAGACTGATGTGTTACAAACAGTTTTTGTTCTTTAATTGGAGATATTCTAGCTGTAGTTTGTAAGAAAACAAGCTCCATGGCAATTTTGCCAGACACCCACTGTTCATTAGTAATTATTTTTAATAACTGGGCCTTATATTTATAGGTTAATTTAAAAAAACATAGTAGAATCCACAAAAAGATAGTGATTTTTGGCCCATATGCCTGTGAAATTTAACAGTCTGCAGCAAAAATTGTGGGAGCTGAAGTGCCGATGGCATCCATCTGTGCTATTATATTTAGAGTTCACAGAACAACACAATCAAACCTGGCAAATTTTGGAATCTGAAAGCTTCTGTAATTCATGAAGGAGGAGAACAGGAATAAAGAAAGGTACTATCACAAAGAACTGCACCAGTTACTTTATAGAAACATTGTCTATATTTATTTGAGTAGCCAAATGTGTATGTTACTGTAAATGTGAAAAATAAGTTGTCTATGCCTATGTGCTTTACTCACAAATCAGCTGCATTTTGCTAATGCCTAAAAGCAACGTCTTGTGTAATAAAGCTAGATAAACATCTAGGCCAAGGTTTCAAATAGTCATTAGTGCCTTTGGGTATCTCAATCTCTGGGTGCCCAACCTAAGCCACCTGAAACTCAAGCTCCCTTTAAATTGTCTGAAACTTGGCACCCAAAATTACCCGTCATTTTTGAAAATTTTGGCCCTAGTGAATGAAAAAGAAAATTGAATCCACCAGAAATGGTGGGTTCCAAACTCCCAGTCCAAGCATTCATCTGATGCAAAGCAATCTGCTATTCCAGAGGATACTGCAGCATCACTACTCTACCAGTGAACTCTTTCTTTCTTTGGGGACAGAATATTCCAGGCATTTGAGAGGCCACCGTGATGTATTCTGTGATAATCAGATACAACCAGGGAAGTTAAAGTCAAACAATTTATGGCCTTATTCTTTTTTCCATTATGTGTCTCTGAACCTCACTTCTATTTTGAAGAACCACCTTAACATTTACGTTCATTAGGGTTTGTTGCGAACGTAACTTGGCTGACTCTAAAACCCAGAATAAAAATGCAGGGCTCTTCTGTTCAGCAATCCTTGGTTCTGATGTTAAAATCCTGGATTAAGATTCCAGGCAGGAACTGGTGAGTCCAGAGAAAATCCTGGATGGAAACCCTGGGAAAAGCCAAGCTCCAATTGAGGTTTTTGTTGTGTTACTATCAATAATGCCAAGCTCTAGGAAGGTGAGTTGGGGACACAATATAGTCTGTTGAACTCTAGGCTGGGACTCAGACCATTGGCACTTTCATTCATATTGATGATCATTCCAGTGAAAGGTGATACCTTTTCCATTCATATAAATAGAAGCATCCTGGCGTAAGACTGCATTTCCCCATTAGGCCTCATATTAACATACGGGTTGACAGGCTGGAAGCAAAGTGAAACTTACCAGATTCCTATTTTTTGAAGCAGTCTCCACTAGCAATCACTTTTTCATGGCCTCAACTCTTTATCCAGAATCACTGTCAGCTCCTAAATGGTATCAGTTTTAGCTTTACCGTTTTAGAGGCTAACTAATCAGTGCAACAATTTTATTCAGGGGAGGAAAGAAAAGGAAAGCAGAAGGCAGAGATGAAAAGGAAGGTGAAAGAGGGAACTAACTGTACTATAAATGGCTTTTCAATGCAGAGTGAAATTTAATCCAGGCCCCTGATCATATTAGTTAACCTCACCTTCTTTTATATCATGAGCTGTACTTGTTAAGTTCTCCTCTTCTTCATCTGTACTGGAATCACTGGGCTCAGGTTCAGAACTCAAACGATGACCATTTTCAATTGCCTCTGCTATTTTCTCTTGGACTGATTTGCAATCTTCAAAAAATATCACAAAATTATTAAACAAGGAGCAAGGAAGAAAAATAATCGAAAGCTTAAGGGAAAAGGGAATCATTCAGATGTCTGAAATTGGCTTAAAGAGCCGTATTATCAGTGCAAGGTTAATTAAAATCCAGTAAGCCTTCACCAGTGATAATGCTTTGAAGTATATTAAAATCAAATGGCAACCCATTATAAAAATTCATGCAGGAGGATCTACAAACATACATGCAGAAATCAGCCGCAAAAACATCACAAAGACACAAAACTACCTTTGCTAAGATGCTTTTCATGCACAAGCAACAAAATTGTTTGATGAACAGAAACCTTTTATTGTCCTGTGCCTACTTTAAAAAAAAAAAAAGTACACCATATTTTTACATACTAAAGTTTTCATATACAGTTCTGATGAGTCTTTAAATTCCTCACAGTAGTAGAATTGGCTGAAGACATAGTCTTATCTTGATGCGTGGTCATACATGAATGTAAATCCCTATATATAGGCAGAGAAATATTTACTTCTCCTAAAAGCAACATCTATGATGTTTAAGGTTTTGTTTCATAGTCAAGATATACGTGTTATATTTGTAGAATTATAGTTAAGGTTGTGCTATACCTTCCATTAGCGTTGCATGTACCACATGCTAAGGAATAAAATTAGAGGATCATATACTTGTAAAATTACACTGGTTCTTTGTTAAAAGAACTATTTACAGAGATGCTGTAATGGCAGCTAGCATTGGTTCTAGCCACATATAATTAACTTCCTGGTGCCTCCTCCGAACTCTTCCCTCCTGCAAACTGGGCTTTTCCCTCCAAATACCATGCAGGTTGCTACAATTATAGCTTCAATTTCAAGAGGTATATAATATGGTTATATTGCATTTAATTTGTATTAAGGGAGATGTATTACCAACACTGCATTTCTGTCAATCTAGCCCCATTTCCAAACCAACTCAGCGAACTTTCCTGCTTTCAGATAATGCTACTGCTTTATGGCAAATGCAAAGAAAACGCTCCGTGAGAAAACTAAAACCATTGGGAGGAGGGAGTGTATGGAGGGGAGAGGTTCCTCCTAGCTATGCATGGAAAATAATAGCTATTAAGGCTTTTGACAGTGGAGAATAAACACCAACATTGTTTAACCTTCTAGCTGTGTATATAATGGGGTTTAAGCTGCCTGGTATTTCAGAATTACTCATGGCAATGAGGGACTCTATTGGAAGGACTAAAGGTGACATTTATGTCCAACTGGTTTTCAGGGGAGATTAGGGACCAGATGGTCACTAGTCAAACTCCCCCCCTTTCCCTCCCCCCCATTCTTATATTCTTCGTTTCCCCCATTCTCTCTCCACATCTTGCCATTCTACTTTGTTTCCTTTATATTTTCCTTTTGTTTTTCCTTTCTCCGCCATTTATCTACAACATCTCCTGCTTCTCCTCCCCACCACAGTCTTCTCAGTGTCTTCCTTCCCCCACACTGTTTCCTCCTCTCCTTCTCCTCCAGTTCCCTGCCTCCTTAGCTCCCAGGAGCAATAGGACAAAATCAAGGAAGGACAAATTTAGTCTGAAGGGCAGGGAAAGCTTTCTAAGCATGATCGGTTTCAGGCTGCACAAGAGCCTCCCAAGGGAGATGAGAGACATCTTCACTTAAGGCTTTTAAATGGAGCCTGAACAAACCATACTGCAGGGAACAATCCCATGCAGGCAGGGAGGTGGACTGGATGGCACCTACTAGGTCCTTCCTGTCTCTAAATCTGTGATTAGATGATTATTTTTTTCTTCCTTCTCCTTGTTTTTTTCTCATCTCTTCCCCACACCTCAGCCTTCCTGCTATGCTGCTTCTCCCCATCTTCTCTGTTCTCTCTCCTCAGGCCTTACCTCTACCCACTCTTGTTCTGCTTAAATAATGTACTAGCCCCAGCATGAAGCCACTGCACTTCCCTGGAGTTATTTGGACACTATACAGACCCCCTTCAGCATTTCAGGGCAGGGTCCTGACTAGGTCTCTGGGCGCTATTGCAATATCAATAGTAAATAACAACGATGATTAAACTCTGCAAACAAGAGGAGAAACCTTCACCCCCAGGAGACTCCTTTGCTGCATCAGAATAAAGAAGCATAGACAGCATTTTCTTCAGGCTCACTGAAGCCCCATAAGCTTTCTTAAATATGGTCCATACCGTATTACTTTGACCTGCTTATAGTCCTGCCGTTTGATTAGCTGGCAGTTCCCATTCTTCCCAGTTTACATATATGACAAGAGGGAGTATTGACAGTCAGTCAAAACACAGAGCCCCGAGCAGGATGACAAATACGGCTCACAGTAATTCTGTCTCTTGGGATGAGTGACATCTCCTTCTTGTCACAAAGTCCACAAGATCAGAGAATACACAGCAGGTATTTACATACCTTCTAAAATCCTAACTCCCACATTTATGGTGCCTTCCCCAGCCTCAGCTGGCAACTGAATAAGCCCACACAAGCTTTTCCTCTTCTGGTCTCCTTTACATGTAAATTAATCTCTGGTTAATATTTCTGCAACATCTAAAACCAGACTGGTTAGCAGAAGCATAGTCAATAACTGGATCTGCTACCAGCCAACAGGGCAGAAACACCTGATATAGGAGGAAGGGCAGTGGCAACAGAAAGTTTAACAAGGAAATAAAGGAGCCCAGGTGCAGAATAGAGGTAAGAGTCTAATTTTGCAACTGCTGCAAGATGCTGAACTGCTCACCTCTCATTGGCTCTCTCTGGAAATGGATGCCAATCAGCAATTTTCAGGACTGGCCCAGGATCTCTTACATTAGTGACCAGGGGGTGATTGTGGGATCAGGCCCTAAAGAAAGTTTGATTCCCAAGGTGGCATGTGCTACCCATCAAATCCTTTTTTCACAATGTTAGTTTCCTTTCAAAGAGGTCCTTGCCCTTATTTTTTCATTATTCACATGTCATTCCTTGACAAATTCTTTATTTTCTCCCAAATTGACAATCCTGTACCGGCCGGGAGCTGGATTGGATGGGATCTACTAGGTCTTTCATATCTCTAACTTCTATGATTAAATGATTATTTTTGTCCACATAGCCCTTGTTTTGTCCTCATTTTCCCTAGTCTGCCCCTGAGTCTTAGACATTCGCCAGGCAGTAAAGATGCTGTAAGATTTGATGGAGAAGTATACGTTCTTTTATCTGTACTACGCTTATCCCATCTGTCACTTACTCATCCTGACAACCGAAATAGGGCCTCTTAAAGAGAGCAGTCATCCCAAATGCGATGTTCATTCAAATCTATAACTACAGTATAAAATGACTGTTTAATGTCAGCACCCAGGAATTTGATCAAATAAGAACAATGGTCTTATTTTGTGCCAAAACTGTGGCAGGTCATTAGCTCAGTACATAGGATTATCCCTTTCTTCCCTTTTTTTTTTTTTTTATTACAGCACTTCATTCTACCTGTATGATTGAAATCATTAGCAATCTTCAACCACACTTAATACTTATCTAACAGTCTAATGGTGAAGTTGCTTAAGCTGAGATGCCTTATGCAAATAAAAGGAACGTTTCAAGAAACACACACCTATAAATAATTCAATATAATCCCTGAATAGTAAATTATTCCCTCTTCTTCAATTCTGAATGCATAACATAGCAAAACCAAAGCACAGTGCAATCCAAAGCAATCCAACACCAAGAGACTTGCAAATAATATAGCATAGCGTTCAACAGTGTTTGCTTTGCACACACAGTGCTATTTGATACATGCTGCACTCGAGCAGAAAGCAATAGAAACAAACCACAAACATCTATTAAAACTAAATGAGAGCATTACATAATCCACTGCAAAATCGACATCCATAGAAATACAGTCAGAAATATTGTCTAGCACGGCTTGTGACTCCCTTTCTTCACATCTGCATCACTAAGAAGGCCACTTCATTACTTTACATTGACATTCCCAGTATTATCAGGATACTCTCCCCGCTATCCAGATGAAATTCCACACCAAGTACTTATATTCTTCCCACCCAAGTACGCAATCCTGCACTGCCTTACTCATGTGGGTATAGCTATACTCCTTGCCCAGCCCCCAAAACATCCCTCAATAGCTGTGAGATTGGAGCACAAATATTCCCATTTTACAAACTGCCAAACTGAGGCATGGGGAGGTTAAGTGATTTGCTCCTGGTGAGAGTGTGTCAGTGACAGAGCCGGAGACAGAAACCATGTCTGTTGACTTTCAATCTGGTTGTCTATGCACTGCACCATGATATACCAGAGATTTTTAGGAGTCCTTATGGAAACTGGAATTATAAGAATGACAAACCAGTTCATCTGAGCTGGCATATGAATTCTCTAGGACTTCCTATGCTTGAGATCTAAACGGGCACTGAGCTTTATAAAATTACATGAGATGTCAAACCTAAGGGTATTGTGGTCCATGAAAAAAAATATATATAAATCTATTATCACATACTGCCCCAACGAGTGATAGAGATGAAAAAAGAATAGCCAAACCTTACATTGGAAAACCCATAAAATCAAACAAACAATGAACTTACAGCACATCATTGGTGGTTATTTGGCACACACAGCAAAATGACATTCTAACAGTTTTACATTGTACACCAAGAATAGTCCAATAACTGAATTGCTCATGCTATATCAAAATGCCATCTCGATCACTAATGGTAAGAGCAAATGACACAACACTTACATGCACTGGACACATCACATCTCCACCAGGAGACAGTACTTACCACCTCCTTCATCAACCTCAGGAGGATCCTTGTTTGTAGCCTCTGCTTCCACAGTGCTGCCTTCCAAATGCACTAGAACAACCTCCTCCCCATCTTCCCTTGTGTTGCTTCCATCCTCCTCCCCCTCTTCCCTTGCATTATTTTGTATTGACCCTACATGTCGGAGTTCCCCATTGAGTTCATCTGTGCCTTGATGATGTATTTCCATCATACTTCCATGAAGAACCTCAACTTCTTCCCTCATCACAGCCTCTGCTTTTGTCTCTTCTGCTTCATCCATTTCTTCCTCCTCCACTTCATCAATTTCCTGATTTCCCTCAGGTTTGCTTTCCCAAGTCTCATTTCCATACTTCTCACTTGTCGCTGTCCTGTCAATGTCTTCCTTTTCATTGCCCTTAACATGGTCTTTCATCTTTGCAGCTTCAGAGTCATCTTCACTGCTATACAGAGTACTGCTGGATGAGAGAGAGGATGCAGACTTCCTATCTACAAACAGTAAACATAATTTCATTTTAATATTTTTCTATAAAGCATCTGTCCTCACTGTGCACCAGTTCATTTAGCTGTGTCCGAAGAGCCAGGGCCTCATCTGGGGTAAAGTGCCATTGTTCTGCTTTAGACCAGCTGAGGATCTGGCACAAAATGCCTAATAATTATATAGATAGGTCCATTACCCGAAACTAACAACAAGCAGTTAATCAAAGCCACTTAACATATTTTATTTTGGATAATGTAACCATACCACAGGAAATCTCTACCAATGATACATGAGATCTGCTTCCAAAGACCACCTCTGAAAGCAGTTGGAAAGGGGTGACAACAAATTCCTGCTGTATTCGACAAGAAGTTTCAACAGTCAGAGTTCTTCGACACATTCATAACATCTCGGTGGATCTATTAGAAATTTCTTGTGGACCACACAGGAATCAACACCATGCAGTATTAATCCTTGCTGTTTACAATGTAGTTCTGGTTTTCTAGCACCCCTCACATCCAGACATGCCAAACCCGCAAAAAAAATGCAGAAATTGGGCTTGTTTTTGGCTTAATTGGCTTGTAGTTTGTTTGGCTTGTAGCTTGTTGCTTCTTTTTTTTGATCAGCTCCCGGCAAGCAGGGGCAAGGGGGGGCCAGAAGGGGGGAGGGAGAGTAAGGGCTGCACAGCGGGCCCACTACAGTCCCAGACTGCACACCGGGGGAATCTAGTCACATAGAGCATTGGGGTTCTTAGGGATTGGCCTGTTTTGGCCTTGTTTTGAAATAGGATTATCTTGATTTTTGGCTTATTGTGAAAGTCAGGGTGCTTATTTACCTTGTGAAAGTTGGCAACTGTGCTCACATCTTTAATTATTCTTTCCAAATGCATTGTTATGAATATTCTGAAGTTGTTTTTTTTTTTTTTTAAATTTAAATACAATATTTTTACAGGAGCTAAAAATTTATTTCAGATATGCATATACAACTCCTATTAACGTCACTAGAATTGTGAGGGTATGTTTGTGTGGGGAATGTGGTCCTAAATTCAGGAGCGCCGCCAGCTTTTCTGCCACCCTAGGCAGCGGAAGGTCCCGCCCCGAAATCCCGCCCCTCAAGAGGCAGCGGAAGGTCCCGCCACCGAAATACCTCCGCAGTCGCTGCCCCCCAAATTGTAGTGTCCTAGGCGACCGCCTAGGTCGCCTAATGGGTTGCGCCGGCCCTGCCTAAATTAATATAATGCTTGTTAAAGGGGACAGATTATCAGCCTGGAAGGCTAAAGTCTTCTATTTATCATAGAGGAGATACAGGAGATGCAGGACAGTGCAAACATCCCCACAGAGCAGTCCCAGGGTGCCTCAACTCTGTTCTAGACAGGCCATCATTGTATTAGCTCAGATCACCTGCCCATTCAAGCCTGGTCATCTCCACTGAGACTGACAGCAAAAATGACAATTAGTATCAGACGTGATGTGGAATCTGCCTGCTTGTACCTTGACTGAGAGACATTTCACACACAGACTACTGAACACCAATCCCATGGTAGCGACTTCCAGTTGCCACCTGTCTGCACTGGCTCTGAACCTGCAACCTAGAGGTAAAAAGTTCTGAATCCCCATGGCCACCCAGCTCCCTAACAACATTATAATTATTAAAGACACTAACAAGAACATAAACAGGCCAGTGGAGAAAAAAAATCTCATACACTCAGATAAGCAGTGTACGTTTCTTTCCAGGAGAACTGGCCAATGATTCTTTACAATGTATTCATCGGCTTATGGGCCATAAGGATTTGAATGCCAAAGTCTTTCTTACTTGCTCTTTATTTGTGCCTAACCCATAACATTACATGCAAAAATAAGGACTTAGGCTCCTCAGTTATCAGGATATGTTTTTAAATCTCTACACACAGGGTGAAATTCTGCCTTCAGATATACCTATGCAATCCTGTTGAATTCAGACACTATGGTGATGAGTGCAATATAAATGCAGAGGTAAGATGAAATGAGATGAGATTTGATCCCCCTGTATTATTCTTTGTCCCATTATTATCATCATACATTACTCATAATACAGTAGCACCCAGGAGTCCCAACCGGAGTCGAGCAGATTACAAATATACAGTCCCTGCCCCCAAACAGCTTGCAGTCAAAGGTCTTGATCCTGCTAACAGTCACACATGTGCATAACTTTAAACAAGTGAGACGTCCCATTGAGTACAAAATGAGACTAAGGGTTTGCAGGACCATGGCATAGATAAATTCAAGACATAAATGAATTTTGCACACAGTAGTTAGGATGGAGGGGAAAGGAAGATGATAATAAAATAAAATAAGCAATAAAAGAATTTGGTTATGTAAACTAGCCAGCTGGGTAATTTGCAGATCTCTGTGGTTTTGTTATGGTAACGAGAGTTTTGCCATTTAGGATTTTAACAAAAAGGAACCTTGTCCTGAAAATGACCAGTGAGTCACGGTACTGGTTTAGGCCAAAGTCCATTCCCTGTAACAAGCACACGGTACAAAGTCTGCATTCAAATTAACAAAATAGCAAAAATTCACTTAGAGAAAACCTACAAGACTTCACTTGACAAGCTTCTTTCCCCAGCACATGTAACTTTTCAAGATCTTTTCCAAGCTGGGGGCCTAAAGTTAGGCACCTAACTCCATATTTGGAGACCTAAATCAGTGGCCTGATTTCAAAGGTTCTGAGCATCCACTGAAATTAATGGGATCTATAGGTGTTCAGCACCTGTGAAAAGTAGGTCACTTATTTATGTGCCTCAATATGAATTCAGCAGATTACTATAGGCTACTGGTTTAAGAACACTAGCAATTGTTTCCAGAACAAAACCCACATCCCTGTTATGTTCCACATTTATCTAGAAGCAAAGAGGAAGTAAACCACTTACCAAAACGATGAGTTCTCCAATAGTGTGCCCCACAAAATATCCACATTTCTGGGGTGAGTGAACAGTATGCTGTGCCGTGTGATTCCAGGAGCCATTTGAACAATAGTGTCAACATTTTAACCATGACAGCTCGTACTACATATGCCAAGCCAGAGTGTGAAAGTAGAAATGCTGAGGCGTGATAGCTCCCCCTCAGTTGCAATGACCCGCCTGTTCAGGAGTTAACAGGATTTTTAAACACGAGAGGAGGATGGGGGTGGGGTGTGACCATGTGGCTGAAAGATAATGTAGCTGAAGAACTCACGTTACTGCTCAATAACTTACGTTTCTCCTTCCTTACCTCTCCCACACACACCCCTCTCCACTCCTGGAGACTGGCTAGCAGTACCAAGTTTAATTAATGAGGACAGTGGTTATTAATAATGGACACAGCACCATACCTGCAAACATACAGAATGTTTCAAGGTGGGGCATTAGCAGAGTGAACTCACCACTTAGTGCCCGTTTTGAAAGAGCTCTCTGGGTGCCCCCCCCGACCCCATCACCCACTCCTGCAGTCTGCAAGGGGTGTTGGGGAGGCCCCAAAGCAATGGTGGGCAACCTTCGGCCCATCGGGGTAAGCTGATTGCGAGCCACAAGTCATTTTGCGGCCGTAGCTCCCTGCGGCTCCCATTGGCCGGGAACAGCAAACCGCAGCCACTGGGAGCTGTGGGGGGCCGTGCCTACGGACGGTCATCGTCCGCAAAATGTCTCGCGGCTTGCAATCAGCTTACCTTGATGGGCCACATGTGGCCTGCAGGCTGCCCACCACGCACCACTGCCCTAAAAGCTATGCCCCACTGGAGCTGTCAGGTGCTTGACATCATACCAGCCCCCCATCTTCAGTGCTCCAGGAGTACCAGTGGCAGTACTCTGCGCAGGATAGCTCAGTGGCTTGAGCATTGGCCTGCTAAACCCAGGGTTGTGAGTTCAGTTAAGGATCTGGGGCAAAAAAATAGTTGGGGATTGGTCCTGCTTTGAGCAGGGGGTTGGACTAGATGACCTCCTGAGGTCCCTTCCAACCCTGACATTCTATGATTCTACGATTAATGCACAAAGAGAATGAGGGAGAAGCTCCCTGCAAGAAAACTTGGCTTCCACCCACGTCACCAGTATGACAGAATTTAGCCCATATAGAGAGACATATTCCCCTACCCTGAAAATCTTCTAATGCAAGAGTAGAGAATAGCACTTGTTCTAGTCATGGGCCCTGATTCTCAGGTCTCCAGAGTTCAGCAGAACATGAGGAGGGAACAGGAGAACAAAGGCAGCTGAAAGCCAGAGAGGGATTTCTGGAATGCTACAGTGCTCTCTCCATGCCACCTACACTGGATGGGGCTGGGAGATGGTGAAATCTCTACACCAGCCAAGGAGTCCCTCCGAGCAAGGAAACCTTTAGCTGCCCATTTTGGGAGGATTTCCAATCCCCTTTCCAGCACTCTGGTGGCATGAAGTGACCATAGCATGGGGCGGGATGTGATCCTAGGTATCCTGCCCCTAGGGGGTGGGAAGTCCAGAGGGAGGGGAGGATTTGGGTGCTGCCTCCAAGGGATGGGTGCCACAGGGGGGTTGGATCCTGCCCCAAGGAGACAGGTATGGGGTTCAAGGGGTGGGGGTAAGAGAGCGAGCCTGCCCTGCACACATCCTACAGCAGCTCAGGCCCCCCCGTGGCTGGCCTGGCTGCTTGCTCCAGCCCACTGACTCTCACTACAGCATGCAGGTGGGTCAAAACCTCAGTGTGTCCCCCCCACCACCACTCAATTTGGCCCAGCTGTCCCTCTGTCATAATGGAAGTGCGGCCAGCCCATACCTAGTCAGGGAGGGGGCTCTCCTGTGACTGGAGGCCCAGTGCGAGCGCACTTAGTGCATGCTGGTTAATCCAGGCCTGTGGGAGAAAAACAGGTTCAAGTGCCTGCTCTGCCTGATTCAGAAAGTGCCCTAACCTGCACGCTATTGGCTATTTTGGTCTCTCGCTCTCTCTTTCATTCACTCTGATTTTTGTCCCAGTGCGGAACAGGCAAATGTTTGAAATCTCAAACATTTTCACAGGATGGGGAAACCATTCCCTGTCCATCTCTAAATTGTACCCTGCATTAACCCATTGTGGATCTCTGCCCTCCTATAGTGGCGGGACTACATAAAGGGGCTTATGAGTCTACTACTTTTCCCAAATTAACTGACTTGGCCCCTTAACTAAAGAAGTAGATGCCCGTGCTTTTAGATCAAAAGATACTGCATTCAATCCCTACAAACAAGAGCATTGCTACAGTGCTGTAGGCAACAAATCCTGCATTAATATTCGAGAGGAATAGAATATAAAATAGATCCTTTTCTTCTCTGCTTTATATGAGTCCATGATTGCCAAGATGGCAAATATATATTAAAAAAAAGTCCTGACTGAGACCTCGAATAGAATTGTATGGATGTAATTGAATTTGACTCAGTATGTCTTATATCTAACTACAAAAAAAGTGGATTTTCTTCCATTAGCTTATAAAGCCTCTTTTTTAAACATATTTTTAAATGAATGTGGATTTTTTTGGTTTTCATTTCTCAGCTCTCGCGCCAATCATTTTTAGCAGTGGTCATCTACACTGATCACAAGCAGTATCCTAGTGAATTGTCTGTTGACAAGTCTGCTTTCTTGCCCATCATTCATTGCTGACAATCACAATACACTCTTAACAGGTCAGTCAGTGCCAGGGATAGTTAACAAAAACACAATAAGAAAAGTTGTCGTTCTTTTTCGATGATTAAAAACAAATCTCACCCATCATTCCTAAGCTAGATTCTTCTTTTCTTACCAGTCTCACAGTACTGTATCTTACCCATGCTGGGTGACACAAGTGTACTTATCAAATGCATCAGCTTCAATTGTTAGCCAGCAGTTCAAATTTTCCATACTTTTCACAATTTTGTAACATATTTTGTAACTTCTTGCCCTCAAGGAGCATGTGTCATCTAGGCAAAACTAAGCCTAGCCAAAGAATGATAGTTAATCATGTGCAATGGAAAGGATTTACTGATGGCTTGAATTCCACTGCCACAATGTCGTCTTCTATTTCATATTGTTGAACCAGAATCTTGTCCATTGAAAAGCTGCCTCTTTTTCAGCATTCACTTTCAATAAACACAGTTTTTCACTTCAATAGCAAAAGAGCCCTGCTTGAATGAGCTATTGCTAGCTGGCTCTCTAAGAACAAAACCCTGTGCTCAGCACACTGGAGGTAGATAAAAATGGCTAAGGATTATGATGCCAATAAAGTAAACGGATGTTAGGAGAAGATAAATCTTTCCTGTGGCAGACTTTTAGTTCTAAGTAGAAAGAAATGTTTGAAAGCACACGGAGTTTGGGTTCAACGGTGGTGAAATCTCACAAGCTGTTTTTGTGAGATTCTAGCCCACAATGATAAAAATCTCAAAAGACAAACTCATTTCTGGAGATTTCTGCCATCATGAATGGGAGAAATCTCTTTAAGGAGATCAGTTGTTCTCCAGAGACTTTGGGTGCATTGCAGCCAGAACCAAAAGACCCTTTTGGCTTTAGATCAAAGAATTTAAATCCAGACCCACTGGAAATCCAAGCGCTTTTGGATTCATTGTTCCAGTTTGGGTCCATCTCTAGCTGTAACCAAGTGCAGTGCTACAGCCCTCTATTGACTGCTGCTAAATAAAAACTACAGGACTCTTTCAGACTTTCCACCCTCAGTATACAAATGCCAGTGTAACCGTAAATCTTGTCGACAAGCACTTCCATGTTGACAGGGAGCGGCGAGCTAGAGCTTGAAGAGCATTTACAGCACCAACCAACTGCCAGAAAATAAGGCTCTCTCACAAATATTTCTAACCCCTCCATTATGATGGTGCTAAACATGCATCTTTCTTGAACCAGTCTTCATGTTTCTAATGGCATCCTAATAGCCTTTTCTCTTTATTTTTTTAACCACAGAGAAAGAACTATTGACTCTCTGAACTGTGGTTCATGCAGTGTGAGTACTATCCACGAAGAACAAAAGCAAACCCACTAACTGCACTTCAGTAAAGAGTCTCATAGCTATCTGATTAGTGTGATCATCCTGCCTAAAATAATTTCTCATTGGGGTTGCATGAGGAAGAGATCAATTACTAGCCCACAAAATCAGTAAGGAGCTACATTTAAAAAGCAACTGATTTGAAAATTGATCTTGGGAAAAATTCAGAGTGCGTATTTATTTGCATGATGCTGGGAGCTTTCCACGAAATACAATTTCTGCTACTAAATGGTAGAATTTACCCAGTTTAATTAAAAACTGCAATTAAAGCAAAGCAAATTAAAATAGTTTAAGGGATGGAATGTGAGAATTACAACGCACATACTTTTGAAAGCATTTTGTCAATTAGAAAAGAATTTCAGGCATTTCTGAATGGGCATGCCATGCCCTTATCCATGTGCACAACTCACAGTGAGTATTAATATACAGTAGAACCTCAGAGTTATGAACATCTCGGGAATGGAGGTCGTCCAGAACTCTGAAATGTTCATAACTCTGAACAAAGCGCAGTTTGGGCTCCAGATCCAGCAGCTGACACTCCAGGCCAGGCTTCAGCAGCAGCTGAGCTCCCTACTCAGTTGCGGTAGTGTGTCTCTGTGTGTGTGTCTCTGTGTGTGTGTGTGGCCGGCTGCCTTGGGCTGGCAGTCTCAGCGTCCTGCTGTAAGTGGCTGCCCCTCTGTGTGGGGGTAAGGGTGGGGTGGGGACAGGCAGCCCAGATGTGCCTACCTTTAAGATGCAATACAGGAACAGTACAGTATTTGCATTTTTTTTGTCTCTGCTGTTGCCTGATTGGTTACTTCTGGTTTCACATGGTGTCCAGTTGACTGGTCCGTCCCTAACTCTGGTGTTTGTATCTTTGAGGTTCTACTGTATTTCAAATGGTGGCATGAAACAAAGTTAATGGAAACACCTCACTACACCTTAACTACACTATGTTATCAATGTTGCAGTATTTAATAGTCAAATAAGAAGTATATTAATTTAGGAAGAACCAAGGATCCTCACTGTTATGTTATCTATCTCTACACACACATACACACACACACACACACACTCTCTCTCTCTTTCTGACCATAACAAAATTGATACAGCTCAAGAAGCAACTAATTTGTTCACAAGAAAGCTGATTATGCAAGACACTAATAAGCAGAAAACAATTTTTAAAAGTGTTCTGATTGTCCAGGAATCAGTAAATAAATTATTCCTGATAATCATTAGAGAAATGAAACATTAAGATTCTTTCTGATCATTGTGGTGATTTTTATATGCAAACATGTTTCAAACCTGGTTTGAGTGTCTGAAGACTTTTAGTCTTTCTATAGAAAGTTGCAATTTTTTCCCCAAGAGCTGCTTTACCTTTGCCTAATTCACATAGAAATACAAACATGAAAGTAATGTTTACATTTAACTTGAGCAAATAGCTGACATATAAGGACTGTCAGATGGAAAACACCTGATGTGTTAAAGACTACACACACCTCATAAGAGTGGTGGTCTTGGACCAAGGCCTGCAGGCCAAATTACAGCTAAAAGAACAGATCCTGAGTTGATGTAAATTGCCATAGGTCCACTGAAGTCAATGGAGAGATGAACATTTACACAAACTGAAGATCTGCCCCCAAAGGATTTAGTTTGCCTAAATTCCTCCCTAAATTCCTCTAGAAGCTACATCTTCATTTCTGATCCTGAACTGTTCTGCAACATTGCTATGAGCTGTTGCATTGCACTCCAGAGATGACTGTATTTCTACATGGGGTGTGAAATGATTCTTCTATGTCCCTTACCTGTTGTATACATCAGAGGAATGTTGCTGGGTATAATTAACATTTGAGATTCTCAGATGAAAGGCACTATGGCAGTGTAAAGTGTTACAATGCTGTGACGTGGCTAATAACATGCCCTTCTTTCTTTCTCCTCGCCCATGGCTGTGCAGTAATGTTATTGCAGACCAGAGCTGGATGAACTGAATGGATGGCGCGGGGAGGGACAAAGGGTCTTGAGAATCAGGAATATTGCAGCTAAAATGGAAGAGAGGTAGCCTATGTTCTTCATTTCTGGTTAGCTCCACCGCATGCTGTTGCAGAGCTAGGTTACCTGTGGACAGCCCGGCCAACCTGCGGGGGAGACTGGATCCATAGCTTTCTGTGCCAAGGATTGTGCCAAGGATATTTTGTGATGGATGATGCCCTAAGTGTCACTTTCATGACAGTGTAATGTGTCGCTCAACATAAATGCGGGCTAGATGTACACAATAGGGCATACATAAAATGTAAAACACAGATCAGGTCAAGTATCCTGCACCATGGTAAGAAAAAACAACTAACCTTGTTTATCTTCCTCTGAGTCACTGTTTGAATATCCATCACTTTCATCTTTCTCGCTGTCAGAGGCCTGCAGCGCCTTCTGTGATGAGCTTTTACTCTCCTTTTCATGGTCTAAATTATCTTTTTCATCATCTGAGGGTGACTTTGACATTCCATTCATTTGATCATCGGCCTGTCCTTCTTCATTAACTTTCTCATCTGATTTCTCTTCATCTGCTTCAAAATCTTCATCATACTCTGAAATAAAAGAAGACCTCTAGCGTGAGACAGAAAATGGAATTCATAACTACTTAAAGTTCATATTAACCGGAGAGAGGTTAACTCCATTAACCCTCTTTTCTCTTTGCATTTCCTCACTTCTTTCTACAATAAGTGAATATATGAGGCCACAGGAGGGATTGTAAAAGTACATTACCTCAAAAAACAAATCATTTTCTTTAAATCTAGAGTAACAGAAATGGAATAAAGCTACTCAATGATCTAGCAGGTGTCATTCAGTGTAAAGAATAAAATCAACAAAGATAGGTCAGATAGACAAATGCAGGAACAACATATAAAGGGAAGAGATCCCCATTATAGAAAAAACTTTCTGCAAGGAAAATTAATTTAAGCAATGGATAAAGCATCAGAAGGACAATATGTTCTGTGGGAAGTAAGAGAAAGGTGGACTGACAAGGCTAATTAACAGAGGGGTGTCCTACAAAATAAATTAATTATTCAGACTCAGCCAAAGGACACTGCAGATGAATACTCTGATTATTGCATGGTTCTTCTAATATATTCATTTGGTTACAGGGTGAATTCCTAGCTCCATTGACGCTATTGGCAAAACTCCCATTTTGACTTCAGTGGGAACAGGATTTCAACCCAAGTCTCTTACTGAGAATTTGATTAGGAACATTTGATAACATAAGGGCTTTGTATGTAATTCAAAATTGAAATCATGTGTGTATCAGAAAATGTTCTCCGCTCCACCCAGAAACAGACTAATTACATTCCCACAAACCAGAACATACCTAACTCCCTTTCACAATAAAATATTTACTTTGCAACCATTAATTTGCTGCACAGTCTGCAGAGAGGCAACAAAACTGTATCATGAAAGAGAATTGTCACATCAGACACGCTCCAGCTGTCCCTCGGGGCGATAATTTCTCACCTTTCAAATTTAATTGTTCACCTCTTTTTCTTGTTGAAGTGACAAAATGCCAAAGACAGAAAGGAAGAGTATCTGATGTGGAACCAATTAGGCAAATAAACAATTACTCCACAATGAGAATTAAGAAAATGAGTAGATTTATTTTCTACATTCAAATCAATTGAGATTCCAGCTGCCTCTGAGGTGGCAAGCCTTCTCAGTAATTGTCAGAGAGGTGTCCATCCCCTGCAGGGAAAAAGGCCTGGCTAATCACAAAAACGTATTCCTAGTGCCGAATGAGAAAGTTTTGTGTGGGTGCAGAAAACTCATGAAAGTGAGGACAGGAGTAGAAAGTGGGAAAATATTTATGGAGAAATAAAATGATATATTATGAAAAAGGCTTCTCTTAAATAAGTAAATGAATAAACAGGAGATGCTAACAATTTTTGTATCGACAGATAGATAGATATGCACATGCCAAACAACAGATGGAAAAGGCATTGGTGGTTATATGGTACAAGAAAACTGCCAGCTTAAAAACAAGAAAGGACTCTAACCAAGAGGTGAACAGATTTATTTCACTCCACATAGGCAGCTTTTAGTGCTATAGCCCCAGTAGGAATGATAGAATGAGGATATACTGTATTCAAGACATAAACTTCTGTGTTAGATTTGACCTTAGAAAGGAGATACTATAAATCTAAGCAGAACAAGAATAACCCTGAAAGTCAGATGCTGATCACAAATGCAAAGCATGAATGAACTATGCAACTCAAAATTATAATCTACTGCAGACAGATCCTCCACTCCTGCCCCCAACCCCGCCACCCCCCCCCATCCTCCTCCAAACCCCCACCCCCCCCCCCCACCCCCCCCAACCCCTCCACTCCCTCCCCCTCTCCATCCTTCTATAACCCCCTAACCTCTCCACCCCCACCCCATCCTTCTATACACTCCCAAAACCCTCCACTCCTGCTCCCTCCCCATCCTTCTATAAACCCCCATGCCCACTGCTTCTGCCCCCTCCCCCTCCTTCTATAAACCCCCAACCCCACCACTCCTGCCCCTGCCCCAGCCTTCTATAAACCCCCAGCCTCTCCATTCCTGCTCCTTCCCCCATCCTCCTATAGCCCCTCCACTCCTGCCCCATCCTTCTATACACCCCTGAAACCCTCCACTCCTGCCCCCTCCCCATCCTTTTATTAACCCCCTAACCCCTCCACTCCTGCCACATCCCCATTCTGCTCCTATGCACGCACCTGAAGCCTCAGGTCCTGACCACCACTCCCTGTTCTGCTGCTATCCTCCACCATCTCCCATCCCCTGGCCTCTACCACACCTCCTCCTCTGTGTCTATATATCACCCAGCTCCGGTTCCCCTCCCCCTTTGTTGCATCTCCGCGGTCTTCTGTCTCCCTCCTCACCCCCCACATCTCCTGTCCCTCTCTCAGACTCAGCTCCTATATACCCCATGGCTCCTGCAACCTTAACTATAGGCATTGTTACCTGCACTGCCTATGCTCTCTCTCTCCTCTCCCCCGCCCCCCCCCCACACACACATACACACACACACACTTCTTAAATCTCTGTCCTTCATTACCAGAGTAATCTGGAGTGGGGCAATTCCTACTTTGCCAGAGTAAACTGTCTCTACACTAAGAGTTTGTATCAATGTACTTACACTGGTTGCTAAAGTCACAGTGTAAACAAGACCTTAAACTTAGATTACAAAAGATTTTGAAAACATATTTGCTGTTGTTACTTTCTGTAGCCCAGTACCACACAGAGTGCATCAAGACCCTTGGTGCTAGGCAAAAACACACTGCAAGAGTCAGTCTTTGCCCTAAAAGCATCCAGTCCAAACAGACAAGATAGACATGGGCTGGGAAGTGGAAAAGAGGCGAAGGGACTCGCTTGTGGTCAACGGTTGAGCTGGGAATAGAGCCCAAGTCTCCTGACTAGCAGTGCTATGCCCTCTCCATTAGACAATTCTGCCTCCCCATTTTTGTTCCTTAACTGGGCTTTTTGATACTGTACCATCTTTACTAGCATTTTCCTGGTCATCTTCGGACTCAGCCTCTGGTCCTTCTTGTGTTTCTTCTTCTCTTTCCTCCTCTGCAATTTCCACACTGTCCTCTGCAGGCTCCTGACTCTCTCCGTGAGCTGATGAAATTTCAACTGTCGAGTGTTTGGTCGCCTCTTGCTCAACGCTGCCCTCGCTTGGCTCATTGTGCTCTTCATCCTTCACGGAATCCTCTTGCTTTTCTCCATAGTCTTCTTTCATCTTTTTCTTTGGAGGAGAGGGGGTTTTGTCCAGGCCCATTGCAATAATACACCTAACAAAAACAACACAGGAAACTTGGAAACTACACATTTTTCCTTCCATAACTTGCCACATGCCTAGTGAGTTAAAAATAAAATTAAATACATTGTCCTATGCCTCAGGTTCACCACTTATAAATATGGGACAATAACATTTACTCACCTCTGTAAAGCACTTTGGAATCCAAAGGGTTAAAAAACCCTTTAGAGCAAATCCTGGTCCTGCTCTACCATACAGTACTGCATCAATACTGCACTAAGCTACTCTCCAGTACTTTCACTGCACTGCGGCAGTGTGCACACAGGATGTTACTATCATGCTGCTGTAGATTCACACCCTGGCTTGCCATGCAGCTACTTGCTGTGTAGACAAGCCCCAAATTGCATATTTATAGGTGCATTTTGGCCAACTAGCAATGGACTGAACAGAGATCCAGGACCATGTTGCTGAGAGACAGAACGCTCCCTACTTGCTTCCCTCCTTAACACCTTGGCCATCGCAGCTATGCCAATATAACTTTTAAGTGTAGACCAAGCCCAATTCCTCTTCTTCTCCCTCCCTCTAGTTTTTTTTTAAAAAAAACAACAATTCTTAATGCTGCTTTAACCTCCACCAACCAACCCTGTTTCCTCACCTGCCTCCCACACATTGAAAGATTTCTTAGTTCATAGCAGGTGGTATTTGCTTTCAGAACTCTGGTACAATCCAGGAAATTTTGCACAACATACTATGGATCCTGGGGATATTCTGGGGCCTGATCTACACATAAAACGTAGATCAAACTAGCTACATCATTTAGAGATGTAGTTAAGCTGACCTAAGGCCCAGTACAGACGCTGCAAGCAATTCTTCGGTCAACTTAGCTACAGCATCTCAAGCAGGTGGATTAACTACAGCAATGGAAAAAACCCCGTTCTGTCACTGTAGTAGGTATCTGCATTACATCACCACAATGGCACAGTGCCGTAGCTATGCCACTGTAGTGTCTGTAGTGTAGACATTACCCAGAGACTCAGTGCCAAGGCCTAGTGAAGAATGAAAACCCCACTCTGCTTATTCCTTTTTCTTTCCTCAAGACAACTCTTCTAGGGCTGATCCCTCTCCCTTACTCTCAGCAGTTCTCCCCATAGCCATGAACCCCTTCCCATACCTTTCATTCCCTTCCTAGAACACTATGACCTATCCAACTGCTCTTCTTACATAAAGCTTTAATACAGCAATCCCTCATGCTAACCCTTTCTACAGCTGCTTCTAACCTGCCGTGAGGTATCCTAGAGACTTCCAAGTCTAGAATTTCAGAAACTGACTTCCAATTTTGCGAGCACAAAATGTAGGTGTGAATAATTGTGTTAGGCATTCTGTCCTCTCCATTATTAGTGCCCATAATTTCCTAAAGGTCATTGAGATATTGGAGTTCCTATGTGCAGGTGCACAGCTATTTAGGGCTTCAAGCGTACTATGAGCTCTGCATAGATTAACCCCAGCATCCAGGCAGAACCTATTGTGGAATCAGGGGCAAAGTCACTCAGGGCTTGACCGAAAACTCATGGAAATCAATGGGAACCTTCACTGAGCATGGGATCGGGCCCTGAATCTGTGGACACAAAATCACGCCCAAAATTATTTGTGCTCACAATTTTGCCCCTTCAAACATACAGGGGTAAAGCAGGACTTTTTGGGATGTGACTTGTTGGGGACATGAAAATACAGCTGTAACTGCTGGGAAAGGAACCTTACAAAAGGGGATCTTTAGGTCGATAGCTAGATTTGGGTGGGCTGGTGGAAGAAAGAAGAGTTTCATTAATCATTGGGTTTGTTCCAATATGAAATAATCTGAACCATTTCTCCAGGCTCATATCATTTTAGATAAAGGTAATTCACTTTCTTTGCCACACACACATGCACACAGAAAAGCGGAGATTTGAGCTAGTTTGGATATTTACTGAAACAGTACCTCCATCCTAATTCAGCTGCTTTTCACTCCTCAGAAAACCTTGTCACAGCAACTATAGCATAACATTTACATAAATCATGTAAATGTTAGTTTGAAGTGGAAAGACATGGAATTTTTCCTCAGAATTTAGTGTTTATCTAAAAAGTTAGTTTGGCTCTATAGGGGTTCTCCTCTCTCTGCTTCCCCCGCTGCATCCAACTGTTTATTGTTGTTTTAAAAATATATTATGAAAAGAATAAAAATTATATATGGCAGCAGCAGTTCTACTGTGTGACACTGTCTTGAAAATCCAGCAGACAGATTTTTTTTTTTTTTAAATTAAAACTGAAACTTCTTGGCATACGCTCCAGCTGTTGATCATGGCATTGTCTTTGGCCACGAACAAAAGGAATGCTTTGTTGTGCTCATATTTGTTTTCTGCATCCTGGGCAATGTCCTATATTGGCCTACTCTGCAGCCAGGGAAATTACTGTGGACTTCAAATGCTGAGGCAGAATTGTGCTCCTGAATCTTAAGATTTTATTCTTGTTGTTTTAATTATGTATCTAGCTTGCATGGTGGCCTAGAAAAACTTTAAGAATACAACTGAGTGTAAACTGATTTAGTGATGTCTGCCTGAGTCAACAATAGGTCTGAGAGATGGGAATGACTCACTGAAATGAATGGATTGTTAACTCTGGAACCTACAGATAAGTAACTATGGCGCCATTTAAACTATGTCACTGCTTATCATTTTTAGCATAAACATCCAGCTGACATATTTATCCAACAATGCCAAACCATCTTCTGTGCCTCTCTGGTTGACAAAAGGCCCTTTTTGCCCCTTCCCATGCTGACATATATTCCAACTTCCTCCGACAAATGCTCTGATGTAGTTATACATCAGGGGTCGGCAACCTTTCAGAAGTGGTGTGCCGAGTCTTCATTTATTCACTCTAATTTAAGGTTTTGTGTTCCAGTAATACATTTTAACATTTTTAGAAAGTCTCCTTCTATAAGTCTATAATATATAACTAAACTATTGTTGTATGTAAAGTAAATAAGGTTTTTAAAATGTTTAAGAAGCTTCATTTAAAATTAAATTAAAATGCAGAGCCCCCTGGACCGGTGGCCAGGACCTGGGCAGTGTGAGTGCCACTGAAAATCAGCTCACGTGGCGCCTCGGCACACGTGCCATAGGTTGCCTATCCCTGCTATACATCTTCAGTTCAAAACTCTCTGGCATATTGGAAACAGAAAACATGGTTGTAACCCAAAAACCCCTCAGTGTCAACTAGCAAGGGGGTTACAAGAATATCCTGATTCTGGTCTGTGCATTCTGGTTCAACAAAGAATGTCATGTGAGGTCTTAAATGAAAGTCAGGGTCACACACATTGTTAATATCGTTGTGAAATGTGTGGACAGTTACTATGTAAGGAGCTATGTGGGAATACTGAAAATATGTTTAGATTCTGTATCACAGCAGAGGTGGAGAAACAGGTTTCCTGTCAGTCAAAAGATGTTTATTCACCTGTCTCTCTGTCGGCGCGTAAATTAAGCATGGTAAGCTAACACATTGGAGGTATTTACATACAAAGTCAACAGAAAGATGTGAAGTCAACAAGGAAGAACACACGGCAGAGGAAAAGAACCTTATCTTGAGATACACTTCAAAGGTTTGCTGAACTATATTTGGGGAACAAAGAAGAGCCTCCAAATGGGCAGTGCATTGACATTCATGAAAACAGGAGCCCCACCAGCTTGGGTTGAACATGCTGCAAAAGGCTTTGGGTGAGATGAACTTCATTAAATGGGAGGTTAATCTACTAGTTAAGTTTAACCTCTAGAAAGTGTGTTATGGTTTTATTTTATAGGTAAACCCTTGTTTCCATTATCCTTACTCACGATCTCTTGAATCTTTGATAATAAACTTCTTGTTGTTTTCACTATCAGTGCTGTGGTATTAAGCAAGAAGCTGATCCTGAGTTGAATCCTACAAGCTGGTGTGTACACTGTTCCCTTGGGGACAACCGACCCTGTTATTTCTGTGAGTGGTCAGTGGCAAGGGGGCTGGATACTACAGGGGAATGCTGCAAAGGGGCTCAGGGACTGGGGTACACCAATTGTTAACCTGCATGGTAAAGTGAGGACTGGCGTAGCCCAGAGGAGAAGGCTCAGGTGGCTCACAAGCTTGTGGTGTCAAAGAACAGATACCCAGTTCAGCACAAGCAAGTCTCCCTCACACTGGAGGCATGGGAGGTAACATGGTGACTCAGTCCTGGGTACCCTGAGAACTGTCACAATGGGGACAATGTAAAAATCAACTGACTTCAATAGGAGATTGCCTATGGGAAGATTGCAAGAGTAGATCCAATATTCAGATGATATTACACCTCTACCCTGATATAACGCGACCCGATATAACACGAATTTGGATATAATGCGGTAAAGCAGTGCTCCGGGGGGGCAGGGCTGCGCACTCCGGTGGATCAAAGCAAGTTCAATATAACGCGGTTTCACCTATAACGCGGTAAGATTTTTTGGCTCCCGAGGACAGCGTTATATCGAGGTAGAGGTGTAACTGGTTTCAAGACAAGGGAGGCAATAGATCCCCATTCATCTGAGATGTGGCCTGGGCTCTAGAGAGAGCAATGGGTGAAATGTTTGATAGATGCTTTAAAAAAAGTGGGGAAAGTTTTGTGGTCTAAACACTTGTGAGCATACCTATAGCAAGGAGACGCTCTGTCCACATTCACAAAGCCAAAGTATCCATGCTTGCCTCCCAATCTCGCACCCTTCCGATGCTTGTATTCACAGCAGGAGCTCAGCCTATCCATCTGTATCCCATTGAGGAAAAAGGTGAGACTGAAGGGGAAACCATGGTGCCGCTTTGAGGTAAAGTGAAAGGTCTCTGTAATTGGTGAGAGAACGGGGTTAATGCTTTATTGACAGCCTGTGTCCAGTGACCTCCATTTTGTCTTCATATGTGCCAAAACTATGGATCCTGTGAGATCAGGCGCTGTGCCTCTCATCTGCATTAAAGAGCATTATGTTGTGAAATTCCACCTGCTGATATCCACAAATATCATGCTTGTCCCCACCCCCACAGCAGCAGCCTGCAGGTGCTGTAACATATCCGTGGCCAGCTAGGACATTGTCACTGCAGCTATTCAAAACTTCACAGCTGCAGGGAGGATAGAACCCTGAGCCTCCCATCTCAAAAACACAGGCCCCTACCACTTGATTTGCAGAAAGGTATCCATTAGCTGTTAGCTAGCAGTATAGGGCTTATGACACACAGCTGAGCAGTGCTAATTCTCTCCAGCAAATGGCAGTAGGACACCATACATAGCTCTTTATCATATTCAATGAAAAATCAGAAGCAAAACACAGTTACATACAACTCATTGAGTGAAACAGAACTGCTGGTTCAAATGCTTCTCTCAACTGGAAAACTAAAATCACCCCTTCAGCAATAGTAGTCATCACTTCAGGTTACAGAGACTCATTAGCATGGCACCATGGGGGGGGGAGGGGGGTTGTGCTGCTCCTGGGTATAGGCTTTATGCAGAGGAGCTCCATAACATTGGCAGTGATGGGAAGAAGTCTTCCTCCAATCCCCAGGCTGGAATAAGGATTGTGATCTGTAGTAACCCTCCCCACCTTAATTGTAGATGCCCCTCCTTCCTCCTCAGTCAGCTAGGCAGAGCCGAAACCGTGCACAATTGTGTAATGTATATTGATTGTGGAGAACTCCCTTGTGCCTGCACCACAACCACCCATGCCGGAGAACAACTGTGATTTCATTGCATCTGAGGACTTCTGATCTTAACCTAGAGGTGATTTTTTAGCTATCAGGAATAGTAGATTCCCAGGCCTGATTCTCCTCTAATTCTTGATATACACCACAGTAACTCTAGTGAAGTCTATGGAGTCACACTAGTGTAAGATGGATCAGAATCAGGCCCCCAGAATATAATTTTCCTTCTGGAACAATAAAAAGCATACATTGATGTATTACTGCTACTCAGAAACAGATAATTTAGTATTCAGGGACAGTTTACTCCTGCAAATATTTTATTAACCATACATCTCTATCCACAAATTAATCTAACCCACAGTATTTTGTTAAATCACTCCTCTAAATTCCTTCTTCCATAATTTGCAAAAGTAATTGCAGCCTCATTTTCAATCATGGAACAGTAAATCTCGATTTAGGTTGGAGGCAGCTGGTTTATAAGTCCCTGGATGCGCATATCTTGAGTGAGCTCAGCTGAAATCATTTTGATATCACATCAACAGTTTATCCAGAAAATAAGATGTTGCCAGAATTAAAATGAACGCCTCAACTTTTAATCCTTACCTCCTTCCAGTAGCTTGCCTTTGTAGACACAAAGGTTTTCTCCTCCACAATGTTGCTGATAGACTTTGATTTCATCTCTGTAATCAGTGTCATCATGAGACAAGTGCACACTTTTTCCTAAGTAGATCATTGTAACAGATGCATTGCTGTGTAATGAGGGCTTATGGAATTTTCCTGAGTCCTACAACAGGAGCACAAAAAATGCATTCAATAAGCAGACTCCTAACTAGAGGTGAACAAAGGGGCAGCACTGGTGAGACATTTTTAAAGTATTCATTCGCCTCTTTTTCTCTCACTGAATTTAACCTTCCTGAACTGCAAATCGTGTCAAATCGGTGGCCTCGATTCAGACTCTATGTAACACTCCGGGGCCTTACAGCTGCCTACTGAGTCAGCTGAGGATTCCCTGGCATGGGGACATTGGGCATATCAGGAATGTACATGGGAGAAGGGGGCATGGCCAGAGCGCTGCTGGACTCCAGCAGTCCCCAGATGGCGTAATAGACCCTCAGGTTAATCTAGCTGGAATTCGTTAAAAAAAAAAGTACTGTGGCTGTTCTTACACACACTTGGGCAACCCTGCAGATCAGGGACGTGCAAAGGTAGCATACAGCTAGGTTTGCCCATCACCTAGGGTCCTGCATTGAGCACAGCTCCACCAGATCCAAGGATCAGGTCCTGTGTGTCTTTACCAGACATAGGAGGTCCAGATAGATGAATTATATTTTCTTCTTTGATCTGGCAAATGCTTATCCAAATCTGAAATTACCAAACCTGTATTTGGTGTCCAAAACCCAAATCAGCTGTCCTCCCTGCTATAGATCTGGCATCTAAATAATTCCTGTATGTCAGTTTACTTTTCAAATAGAATCCATTTAGAATTCCTCCATTCTGTCTGCAAAGCCATTCTAGTTAGAGCAGCGTGAACTTTACATAGCGAATCATGTATTTAATTTCATGTTTCCATTTGTGAATGCTCTGCAAGCAGCCTTTGATTGTTATTAATTTGTACACTATTAAAAATTCTTTGATTAGGGTTTTATGTGGGGAAAAGAGTTCAGCCTCCGAGTTCGTCATGATTCACTATGGTCTTGATTCAGCAAGGCACACAAGTATGTGGCTAACTTTAAGACGTAAGTAGTCTGCAAATTTAATCTGTTTCTGCTCTCTCTTATGACATCATAGAAAGGGATGGAGCATTTTCCAGCACAGCTGCTGACTAAGGGCTTTTAAGAACAATCTTGCCCTGGCAGGGAGATGGACCAGATGATCCAATTAGTCTTTTCCACATCTGCCTTGTATGATTCTGACTATAATGTGGGCTTAAGCATGCAGCCCCCATACTGGCAAGCTCTTATGGAAGTTAATGGTAGTTCTGCCTGAGAAAGGACTGAATCCTTTATGCCGGGGGCCTGCACCATAAAAGCCAATTTTTCAGTTCTTCTGTGGCACGGAAACCAAATACATTGTTTAGTTGAATGGGGCTATCAATGGGTGCGGTGGGATACAAGGACAAATCATGAGTAGATTAGTCTCCCAACATTCTGATCTTGATTCTGTGAACACACCTGCTTGTTGAATGGTTTGATACACTTGATTCTCTTTAACAAATGATTTTAGATTCAGGTTTGTGAACACATGTGTAAAACCACTTTCTTCATTGGAAATGCTTTATAGATGGATCCTTGGAAAGAGCTCACAAAACAAAACAATCAAAAGTTGGGTTTTCAGGAGTACACAAAGCTTTAACTGAGGGAGGGGAGGAGGACAAAAACAGGTAGGGTCTAGCTGCTTCTGCTAGTTTTTGAGTTGGTTCACTTCCAAGTGATGATTTCAGTCCTGCTCAGTTGAATTAGTGTCTGTCCGGTTATTAATATATTCGATTAAATTAATTTGGCTGTGGAAAACAATTCCAGGCTGCTGCATTGAATAGAAGACAATACAATATCTCAGCACAGCATTAAAGCAAACATGTAGGACCAGATTGTGCCATCAAAGCACTCTCCAAACTAGAGCTCCAACTCAGACTCTCACTGTAACTCTGGCACTGACAAAACGCTGAGGGTGCACAGCCTTGGGTGTGTGCCCCCAGCACTGGCCCTGGTCTGCTGATCTTGCTCCTCTCTGGCCCCTTGAGGAGGCTGGCACTACTTCCACTGCTAGCCAGATTCAGCATCTCTTGAACCACTTCACTGCCTCTTCATGCTCTCAAGACAGCATATCTGGTAAAAGCATCTCTGGAGCAAGAAATATAGATATCGGGGCAGGGGGTGGAAAAGAGATCACATACTGTACCTTTGTTAACAGTTGCTCTAAGCCATTTGGTGCGGTGGTTGGGCGAAAGCGTCTGCCCCTGGAAGTCCCATGCCTAACTCCCTTTATGTTCTTATCTCCTTTTTGGGGTGGAGGTGGCACCGGTATCACATAATTGTTAATGATGGGAAGTTGATATGGGGATAATCCAGCTGAATAATCCACTGAATTCATAAGCTTCATCATGTTTTTCTCTCCCTGCAATCACATTTAACCACGTCAAACCCAAGTTCATGCAAACACTGAGCCTGCTCAGCACAACTCGAGACCATACTGGATGGACATGATCTGACTGTTCCTTCCATTTTACATTCACATTTTCAAACAGGGGCCTCTAAATTGGTGCCCACAACTTCGCTTGCTAAATGATTTGTGCGAGCAAAATCCTGAATCTGAAAGCACAGCTAAAGGACCTGGGTCCAGGTCTCTTGAAAATTTAACCGATTCTAATTTTTTTTAAATTGAGTATTACTTATGATCCTGGCAGACTCTTGACCACAGCCAGCCAGAATAGTGTACGAATTAACAGTGCTTTTGCAGTACTAATTTCCTTTCATTTGTGGGGCAGAAACCAAGGAGTTTCATGAAATTATTGGGCACAAAATTACCTCAGTGCCTTTCAAATGACTTTATTCCCATTGGTAGTGGAGCTTTACTCCTCCTCCAGGATGAAATCCATCCAAGGGCCCAGGAGCCAAACACCCTGAAGCAGGAGGCAGGTGTACAGAAGAAACTCAGACCCTTGCAGGTGTTGGAACTGGGCTCTGCAGCAGGTCCACATAAACCACCCCATTTGAGAGCTGGCAGTCATGGGAGCCGACTGGGAGAAGGGCTGATGGTCCATGGTAACTTACTGCAGTACCTTGCAGTGGCTGCACAAGGGTCACAGCCCCCGAACCACTCATACCTTTACCGACATAAACCCTATTCACGTCACTTTCTTCAAAGCTATTGGAGAAGGGGCTGAATTTCCCCTTTAGGTAATTACATACCCACGTGAGCAGGTTCCACTAACCTGAGCAGCTCCCCGTCCCTATTCCTACTTCTTTGGCTTAGGAGGAGGAGTTGTGGTGAGGAAAGGAGAGGGGGTTGCTGCTCCTTTACAGCTGTGGATGGTGAAGGGGAGGCTTTGCTGGGATCATACAATTGTAGGACTGGAAGGGACCTTGAGAGGTTATCTAGTCCAGTCCCCTGCACTCATGGCAGGACTCAGTATTATCTAGACCATCCCTGACAGGTGTTTGTCCAACCTGCTCTTTAAAATCTCCAATGATGGAGATTCCACAACCTCCCTAAGCAATTTATCCCAGTGGTTAACTACCCTGACAGTTAGGAAGTTTTTCCTAATGTCCAACCTAAACCACCCTTGCTGTAATTTAAGCCCATTGCGTCTTGTCCTATACTCAGAGGTTAATTTCTCTCCCTCCTCCTTGTAACATCCTTTTAGGTGCTTGAAAAGTGTTATCATGTCCGTCCGTCCCCCTTTTTCCCCCAGTCTTCTCTTCTCCAGACTAAACAAACCCATTTTTTTCAATCTTCCCTCATAGGTTATGTTTTCTAGATTATTAATCATTTTTGTTGCTCTTCTCTGGACTTTCTCCAGTTTGACCACATCTTTCCTGAAATGTGGCACCCAGAACTGGACACAATACTCCAGCTGAGGCCTAATCAGCACTGAGTAGAGCGGAAGAATTACTTCTTGCATCTTTCTTACAACACTCCTGTTAATACATCCTAGAATGTTGTTTGGGGTTTTTTTGCAACAGTGTTACACTGTTGACTCATATTTAGCTTGTTATTCACTAGGACCCCCAGATCCCTTTCCACAGTCTAGGCAGTCTTCTAGGCAGTCAGTTCGTATTTTGTATGTGTGCAACTGATTGTTCCATCCTAAGTGGAGTACTTTGCATTTGTCCTTATTGAATTTCATCTTATTTTCTTCAGACCATTTCTCCAGTTTGTCCAGATTATTTTGAATTTTAATCCTATCCTCCAAAGCACTTGCAAGCCCTTCCAGTAGGGCATCATCTGCAAACTTTATAAGTGTACTCTCTCTACCATTATCTAAATCATTGATGAAGATATTGAACAGAACCGGACCCAGACCTGAACCCTGTGGGACCCCACTTGATATGCGCCTTCCAGCTTGACTATGAACGACTGATAACTACTCTCTGGGAATGGTTTTCCAACCAATTATGCACCCACCTTATAGTAGCTCCATCTAGATCCTCTACAAATACCCTCAGCTGTCCCTGTTAAGAGGTAGGCACTCCCCCTATAGAGAATCTCCACAGAGAGTGAAAATTTTATATCCAAAGAAAGACTACTCTATAAAAAAAGCATCCACTGTGTTTTTCAGTGCTGTGATCCAGGTCTGAATATGAAGTCAGTAGGACAATGTCTTTTGCAAAACAAAAGGAAGGGAAAGAAGGAAAGTCTGAACAAAAAGCTGATGATAAATAATTGTGCATTAAACACAGTCTGTGGTTCACAATTCTGAGATGTACAGTATTAGTCTACTTTTAAGTCATTCTTTCTGATGGGTTCCTGAAACTATGTAATTCTCATAAAAAAAAAAAACAAGGGCTAACCCCATTGGGAAACTGATGATCATGTTCAAGTTCCAAGAGCTTTTGTTTGGATCTTGAAGAAGTCTTGGGTGTGGATCCTGCTGTAGGATATCCAGGAAGTGGCTGTAGTCGGACTGGGCGTTGCATATTTCCTGGTGCAGTGTTTGGCCGAGGAGAGGAAGACTGGACAATTGAAATAAGAGAAGAACTGTTTAAAATGAACATTCATGCACATTCCAGAACCTAGGAGTAATCCAATAAGGCAGTGGTTCTCAACCTTTCCAGACTACTGTACCCCTTTCAGGAGTCTGATTTCAGCCCCAGGCTGTGGGGCTTTGGCTTCAGCATGTATCTTAGCTTTGTGGGGCCCCTGCTTGCCACCCCGTAATGCCAGCCCTGCACTTGTGGCCCCACCTAAACCCATCCTGTGACCCCCGGGGGTCACCTCTCCCAGGTTGAGAAACAATGATATAGTATATAGAGCAGTATAAACAAGTCATTGTCTGTATTAAATTTTAGCTTGCCCTGACTTTGCTGGTGCTTTTTACAGAGCCTGCTGTAAAACTAGGCAAATATCTAGATGAGTTGATGTACCCCCAGAAGACCTCTGTGTACCCCTGGTGAAGAACCACTGCAGTAAGGGACTCAATACAATTATAGATGAACCTTTAACCTGTTATTTAATCAAGCCCTTGCAATTTGACATGTAGATTTCTTGTAAAATAAAGGTGAGTAGAAAAGTGTATTTACGAAAACAGGGCTTACAACAGGGTAGAAAGTGCGTAATCCCAAAACACAAATCTCTTGAGGACACAAAAAAGTTATTGATCAAGATTTTCAAAACTGACACGAGAATATGGGTGCCTAAATTGAGAGACATTAAGAAAGCATGATTTTCAGAAAGAGCTGAAAACCTTCCCTCTGAAGATCATGTCCCCTTAAGGTGTCTCAAATTGGGCACCCAAAACGTGGAGCACCCAAAATCACTATTCACTTCTGTATGCAGTGTATTTGTAGCTGTGTCTGTCCCAGGGTATTAGAGAGGCAAGGTGGGTGAGGTAATATCTTCTAATGGACCAACCTCTGTTGGTCTAATGGAACAGGGGTGCCCAACTTATGAACAGCGGCCTGCTTCAACACAATATACTAGTGGCTGGTTCAGTCGTGTTTGGTCGTCTTGTTTACACCATTTTAGTTTACACAAGTGTGTAAACAGACAATGCTGTACATAGAAACAACCTAACTAAACAAGCTGAACTTAAAATATAAATCAGTACAGGTGACTTTAAATCTTAGGGCTAGTCTACACTAGAAGTGTGGATGCCGCTGTAACGCATCTGGTGCAGACGCTCTATGCCGACGGGAGAGAGCTTTCCCATCAGTATAATAAAACCACCTCCACGAGAGGTAGTAGCTATGTGGGCGGGAGAAGCTCTCCCACCGACATAGCGCTGTCCATACTGGCTCTTAGGTCAGTGTAACTTACATCATTCAGGGGAATGGTTTAGTCACACCCCTCAGTGACATAACTTATGCCAACATAACAAGCCCTTATTAAAATATGTAGAATCTGTTTGGCCCACACAAGACTGTGCTTAGGTTTATGTGGCCCTCCTGTGTAATAAGGTTGGGCACCACTGCAATAGGAGATATTACCTCACCAACCTTGTCTCTCTATTCACTTCTGAAAAGTCTTGGCTATAATCTAGTTTTTTCTATTGTCAGCTAACAATGCAGCCCACTTGTGATTATAATGAGCTTATCGCCACTCTCCCAGCTTTGGCATTGATGGATAAAGATGTCCATAATTTAGACCACTTAGGCTATGTACACACTACAGCTTAAGTTGGTACAAGTTATGTTGCTCAGGGGTGTGAATAAATCACCCCCCGTGAGCGTCATAAGTTACACCGACCTAAGAGCCGGTGTGGACAGTGCTCTGTCGGCGGAAGAGCTTCTCCCACCGACATAGCTACCGCTCATGGAGATGGTTTTATTTGGCTGACGGGAGAGCCCTCTGCCATCGGCATGAAGCATCTTCAGCAGATGTGCAGCGGTGGCACAGCTGCGGCAGTGCCGTACGAGTAGACATGCCCACTGTTTCTCTAATACAGGGTTCAGCAACCTTTCAGAAGTGGTGTGCCGAGTCTTCATTTATTCACTCTAATTTAAGGTTTCGCGTGCCAGTAATACATTTTAACGTTTTTAGAAGGTCTCTTTCTATAAGTCTATAATATATAACTAAACTATTGTTGTATGTAAAGTAAATAAGGTTTTTAAAATGTTTAAGAAGCTTCATTTAAAATTAAATTAAAATGCAGAGCCCCCCGGACCGGTGGCCCGGACCCGGGCAGTGTGAGTGCTACTGAAAATCAGCTCGTGTGCCATAGGTTGCCTATCCCTGCTCTAATGCTTAGTGTAGTGATCTTGGAGGGTAGTGCAAATAAAAAGAGAGAATTAAGGTATTAAAACAGGTTTATCATGAAACAAAGCCACCGGTCTCTAAGAATTGACATGCCACGCTCCTCAATAAGGGCCTGATCCTACTCCCTTTGGAGCAATCAGGACAGTCAGTGCTACAAAGTAGAGATGTAATAGGTGTCTGTAGAATGGTATAGGATTAGGGGTATTTGATAAGACTCACTGATTGCGAAGGACCAGATTGCTCTCCCTCAACTAAATCATGGCGCCCATAGTGATTTCTTGGACCAGCAGGTGGGTGTGGAGAGAGTAGAGGATTAATATCTTCCACTGATCTTCTTGATCGTTCCACCTAGAGGAAGAGAAAGTTATACATCTGAGCTCTTGGTGGGAGAGGAGGCTATAGATCCTGTCATGGAACACTGACCCAGCCTTCTGCGTCTGCGAATAACTATCAGCTTTGGCAGGTGCTTAGGTCATTAAATGGAAGAAGAGATCCAGGTCTGACACCAGAGCAGGAGGAAGGGGCAGATGGATAGAATGGGAGAGAAGCAAGGAGAAAAGAGAGAATGAGAATCGCCCCTTCCTTTTGATTCCTGGGTCTGTTGCTTCTCTCCCATCTTTCTGTCCCTTTCCCTTCTCCCTCCCCTTCTAGTCTTGTCCAAACACCTGATGAATCCTATCAGTTCCACTCCTCCTCCCCTTGTTTCCATGTATGTTTTGAATCTCTGCCCTCTCCCTCAGTATTTCAGTCTCTTACACTTTGTTTTGTTTGAAGCCCCGTTTCTTTTCTGAAGTTAGAGGATCCTCTGCAATCCCCTACTTCCTTCCTTTGACATCTGTTCCCTCTCAAAGTCTCCATATTGTGGTGATTCTCCCTCTGGCAGTGAAGGGTTAGATGTGCCTTTACCCCCTATCCCTTTTACTGTGTAATCTCAGATCAGTTGCTGGCCAGATTAGCAGAAGATGGTGGAGAAAGATGTAAATTACACCTCCCTGCATCAGCCTGTCTCTTGAATCTCAAAGGGAATTAACCCCAACGGATAGAAGACAACCAGCACCAACTGTAGGGTTCCCACTGAGGGGAGCAGTTTTAGTTTCTGGTCAGGAGTCCAAAATTACCCAGCACTGCAGCAGGCATTGTGCCATAAAGGGTCCTGAATATAAACTTGGGCAGACTCTAAACCACAGCTTCTCTCCAGTACTTCCTGGACTGGAACGGAGGCTGTAAATATCACAGGATTGGTATTTTCATTTATTTTTCCTTCTCCCTGTCGCAGCTGGAATGCAGAGAAAAGTGAAATTCAAACCCCTGAGAGGTTTGCATTCTTTCTGCACATCATCAAAGGACCAGACAGCTTCTTAACATACCCAGTGTTGCCAACTCTCATGATTTTGTCATGAGTCTCACAATAATTATTGTTTTCCTTAAAGCCCCAGCTCCTGGAGTCAAAAGGATATGTGATGATTTCAACTTTCATTCTTAAAGAAAAAGTCAGTTTCTAGCCCTCGTGGCTGTGGAGAAAGCTTCAAAATGTGACCCCAGTGCACCCTAAGGGACCAAAAGCAGAAGGCAAATAAAAAGAACACCAAATCTATTATCTTTACATACTCTCGTGATTTTAAAGCCAATCTCCTGATTTTTGAACATGTGGGACTCGCAATACAGCATGCCCTCTGCCGTGTGTGCATTCTTACTGATAAAGAATAAGAGACTGATTGAGAAGATGGGATCCCCAGTATGGTTTTTTAAGTGCTCCAGCCAGGAGTTGAAGAAATTCAGCTGGAGAGATATTCATGCCATGTGAGGTCTATGGCTTCCTGGCTAGAACAGCCACTGACTTCCACATGTCCAGTGGCTGCACCATCAAGCACAAATACAGCGGTTCCAGAATAAAGACTCCTGAAAGAACTCTACCCTATCGTGGGGCTGGTTCTGATAAAAATCACGCAGGGGCAAGTAACACAGAGCAAGTTTGCCCAGTGGCTCAGTACACTCACGCGTCACCTCCTTACCTTGATTCTCTGAACCCGCTCCTTCCTCACAACATTTTCCAGTTTTCTTTTTATTTCTAGCTGATGATGACGCTGCCAGTGCAAGAAAACCTATTAATTACCATAATGAGGTGTCAGTGAACACAATAAGGCTGGGTATTTCTCATCTGCCCGCCTGGTTATTACACCCATTGATCACTGCTCGGTAACTATCATTGACTTGCCTTACACTTCAGCATGTGAAATCGTTCCCTTCCCAACATTAACGTTTTTAAAGCTATAGTGGCCCAGTCAGCTTTTACTTCTGCAGAGGCTATTCCCCCGGCCAGGGCAGAATTGTACGGCCAGAGGGAACGTTGGTAGGGTCCAAGAGGTAGGCAGATCAAAGCATGCATATCTATCACACTGAGGAGATTTAAACTTCAAGACTTCTTATAAGAAATGGAAAGGGAGGCGGATATTTTTTGCTGTTTTTAAAATGAAATAGGCAGCTAATATTGTTTTAAAAATTATTATGAAGAACAAGTTTAAGCTTTGTTGTAACGTGCGTTTTTTGCCTGGACTGCTCAAGACCTGAATGCTTGTGTAGGAGGAATTCTTTGAGTTGGCTTCTTAAATACCTTCATGCTGTTTCATCTGATACTTCTTGATGAAACATAGGAGCCTTGTCTTATAACAGGCTTATTCAAAGTGATACAAGCTACGAAAGTGAGATCTGGAAGAGTGTTGCCGTTTTCCTAATGTAATAAAAATACTGTAATTATAAATAATAATAAATAGTGTGTAATAAGCATGTCATAAAAACAAATTTTATATTTCCAAGTCACTGCTTTTATAATTTATACTCAGGTAAAGGAGAAAATCCCTGGAAATATTCATTTTTAGGAGGGGGTCCGCGAGACTTGACATTTTAGTGAAAGGGGTTCACAGGTTGTTAAAGTTTGGGAACCACTGGTTTAGTGAATACCACAGCCATAAACAACGTGTTTAATTATTTATATTAACCTGAACTGCTCTCCTATAGAAGATGGTAGGTGCCTGCGGAATCGACCCTGCAATCTGCCTTGACGAGGGTGGGGGGAGGGGCAGGTAGCACATAGCTGCACTGCCTCAGGAACAGACGAGGGCTCCCTCTTACTCCAGTGGGAAGTAATTGCTACTGGACTGTACTTGTAACAGATTCCTTCCTCCTCCACTAGGATGGGGGGTGGGAGGGAGATCGGGAGCAAAGTCTTCGCTGTGCCCATTCTTCTCCTGTTGCATAGTGCCATCACGTAGAGCCTGCACTTACCTAGCGGGAAGCAGGCTGGAGAGAGAGAGGCCAGGAGACAGAGATTTAGGGGGCTGCTGAGTAAGATACTGGATCTGGTTTCATCCATCACTTCACTTAGGTACCAGTTGAACAGATGCTTTGCAAGGAAAACTGAGAGTCTCAGCTTCTTGGAGAATGCTGCATGGACTGCACTCCACGGGGGCGGAAGGGGGACCAGTCTGATTCCTCTGTGTGGAAGCAGAGGGCAAGAGAGAATCTTGCCCCTAATTGATGTTTATTAGGAAGCAAGCACCTGTGTGCTACTAGGTGAGAGTGCCTGTAAACGTGCTGAGCCCCCTCACTTCAAGGCCAAGGGAGCATGGAGTCCCTCAGGAAGCACTCCACAGCTTACAGGGGCAGGCTATCAGATCTAGGCAATCACTCAATGAGCAGCCAGGGCCTGATTCCCCGCTGCCCTGCACTTTGTGCAGACATTTACACCTGAAAGTGCACTGCCAAATCAGAATTCCACACACACTTACACCAGCAACAGCTTTTTACCCCACTGTGCACTGGTGTAAACATCTACACCAGGTGTAAGGCAATGAGGTAGCAGTAATTCCCCAACTGCAGCATCCTCCCTTCTATGTAAAAGTGACAATGGGCAGCTGCACCGAGCACTCCAGTAGCAACATGGCAAGGACACAGAGACCTAGGGCATGCGGACGGACTGCTCTGCAGATCTGTTGGGGATCTATGAGGCTGCACATTTGCCAGCTGATCTCTGACCTACAAAGCCATGGCCATGCTCCCTTCCACCTGTGTGAGTGAGGGGATCATGCAGTGGAGAAAATGTGACTGGATACTCACAGCCATGCCCCCATTAGGATTGGGCCTTCTATCTAGAATGTATTTTATAAAATGAAGTGGATCCATGTGTGTAATCTGTTGTGGGAGCATCTATGAGCCCTCGCCATGGACCAGGACCCCATTTTGCTTGGCGCCGTGCAAACAGAACATGATGACAGTCCCTGCCCTAAAAACTATGTGGGGCGGTGTTACTGACAGGTTTTAGAGTCTGTTGATTCCATCTAGTTATGAATTTCACAAGGCAAATTTTCTACTCCAATGTGGTGGTGTTTGGTGGAGACAATAAGATTTGTGGTCTCAAAAACAGTACTGAAGCAGATGCTTTAACGCTTGAAACTACAAACTGCATGGTGCAGGCTTGAACAATGAATCGGATTATTTGAATATTCAGATTTAAGAATGGTGTTAATCAGAAAACCATTAATTGAATATTTGTTAAGAAGCCAAGCTGGGCAACACAAACAAGAGTGACAAGGGCAGCTATTTAAATGCCAGGCTCTGCAACCCGCTGGAATTTGCAGCTGAAGCTTGGGATCAGTTTAAGCTCAGAATCTTTAAGGGGATAGTGAGCTTGAGCTAAATGCAACATGATTATGGAGATAATTGTGTTTAAACAGATGTTAGTCATCTTTTTTTCATTTTTGGGAATGGAAACTGAGCTACAGATGGTGAGGGCTGGAGAGTTTCAAAGGGCTGTGCTGTACCCAGACCCACAGTTCAGAAAAACACAGAAGAGTGTATAACGATATTCAAATTCTCAGTTCTAACAAAAGCTGATAAGTAACAATACACTGAGGTGACTAGATCTTTTGGCACACATGAGGGGTTGTGATTTATCTGACCCTTGTGACCTTGGGACTCTGTCTGAGTGCTGAGGTGGCTTCCTCTCCTCTTCACATGGCTGGTGGCAGCACGCTTTGGCAGATGCTAGGCACATCTTCCACCACCACACGCAGAGTCTTGTGGATGGAGGGATGAGTGTTGAGTTTGGGGGTGTTCCAGAAACATTCTCCTGGTTGGAGTCATCAAGAGTGGAGACTACATGCCCTCCTCTCCACCAAATACCCCTCTTCTCGGGGGCAGCCCCATGACACACCAGCACTAGTAAACAGCCCTTAGGGTACATCTACACTACAGGGGGGAGTCGATTTAAGATACGCAAATTCAGCTACGTGAATAGCGTAGCTGAATTCGACGTATCACAGCCGACGTACCCCGTTGTGAGGACGGCGGCAAAATCGACTTCTGCGGCTTTTTGTCGGCGGCGCTACGTGAATAGCGTAGCTGAATTCGACGTATCACAGCCGACTTACCCCGTTGTGAGGACGGCGGCAAAATCGACTTCTGCGGCTTTTTGTCGGCGGCGCTTACTACCACCTCCGCTGGTGGAGTTAGAGCGCCGATTCGGGGATCGATTGTCGCGTCCCGACGGGACGCGATAAATCGATCCTCGAGAGGTCGATTTCTACCCGCCGATTCAGGCGGGTAGTATAGACCAGACCTTAGACAGGACTAGGGAACTATTCTAAAAGGAACAGAGGGTCCTGTGGCACCTTTAAGACTAACAGAAGTATTGGAGCATAAGCTTTCATTAATGAAGTGGGCATTCACCCACGAAAGCTTATGCTCCAATACTTCTGTTAGTCTTAAAGGTGCACAGGACCCTCTGTTGCTTTTTACAGATTCAGACTAACACGGCTACCCCTCTGATACTATTCTAAAAGGCTTATACGTGGATAATGTGTTCATACCTCCATGTCAAGGACCTTGTGAAATATGGCCTGAGCTAGGCATTCCCGTACGTATCTTTGGTGATCCTTCCTCATAGCATTTAGCCGATACTCCTTCTCAGATATTATTCTTCCACTTCTTGAGATCTGTCATAAGCAAATAAAATATAAATATAGAGAAAAAGAGAAGAGAGAACAAGGTGTATTCTAAACAAAGCCACGTACAAAAGGAGAGCAAAACTACTTGAACACATACACCATTTCTGCACCTTTACTATGTCCCCCACTTCCATTAGAGACCATAGAGAGACAAGGTGGGTGAGATAGTATCTTCTACTGGACCAATTTCTGTTGGTGAGAGAGACAAGCTGTCAAGCTTACACAGAGTTCTTCTTCAGGTCTGAAGGCAGCACAGAGAGGCATGGAGGTCTGAAGAAGAGCTCGTTGTAAGCTCGAAAGCTTGTCTTTCTCACCAACAGAAGTTGGTCCAATAAAAGATATTACCTCACTCACCTTGTCTCTCAATATCCTGGGACTAACCCAGCTACAACAACACTGCATGAAACAATTAGAGACAATAGAGATTGCTGAAAAATAAAATTAAAGGTATTAACTCAATTCTGAATTGGAATTTTGTAAATTTGCTAATCGACTTTATAGGCAATAGGTTAACTTTGACACTGTTTTTTAAAAACAAGTCAATCATCTAATAGCATTTAAATTATGACTTAGAGATTCTGAGAAGAACAACCAGAAATATGCAACAAAGACATACTGGATCTATTGTAATCATTCAAAGAAAAGTTCTCCTCACAATAGATTTGAAATACAAGTACAGTGACACGTCTTAATAGCAGCCTTACTGTGTGGTAATGCACTGCCATTCATGTGTGGTAATGACTTACTGCAACTCTGCCACAAGCTCAGGGCTATGCTAAGTTTACCCAGTGTTTATGTACAGAATTGATCCATGCCAATAATGGTCTCCAACACCATGGAGACAGATGACTGATAGGCAATCATGTTTATTATTAAGGGACAATGCCTCAGTTTCAATTAGTAGCTCATCACGAGCCAATCAAAGTTCAGGATCCTCAGCATTCAGAAGCAGTTTTATTCTGCTGCTAATGTCACTTGGGGAATTTTCATAATACTAGAAAATCCGAACTGGGTCATTAGGAGGTATGTTTTTTTTATTGCTGTTGGAATTTTTCCTGCTGGAATTCCACCACAGTGTCCTCTCCTCCAGTCTCCACAAATTATTAATTTAATCCAATAATATTAAATTGGGAGAAAATGAATGATTTGTATTAAGTTAATACCTATCTTAGGTGTGAGAATTGTCTCATCCATGGCATGAACAGAATCAGTTAATGTTGCCTTGTCATGCACACACCCTCTACCAATAATGAGTTAACACATTTACAGCCCAATCACATATGGTGGTGCTGTGCATCTTAAATAAGATGAGCATCCCTCAGCCTCCAATGCTGCAATGTGCTAAGTACCTCCAGCAGTGTACTAACTGCAACTTCCTCAACTCCCAACGAAGTCTTTGATGCTACTTAGCACATTGCAGTATCAGGCCCAGAATTAGCACCTGTCCTTGATTCTCTACGACTGTCCAGATTTTAGCAGCACAGCCCTGTGTCCCACAACCATGCTATATTTACAGGACCCCAAATCCCATAGGGTCCTGCCATATGTGATCACGGTGTGATGTTGGGTGGTAATGCAGCGGATGACCTTCTGATGCAATGAAAAGATCACATTACATCATGCTGGCATGGGATGACACCATGAGATGTGTTTGTCTAGATGGGCAAATTTTTAAAAAGTGGCAACCCTACCTCTGTACTGAAAAGCAAAAATACCCGGCAGCGTGAGGTAAAAGTAACAAAAAGGGAGCCTTTAAAACCTACCAGCCCTGATCGCTGAAGATGCCGTCTTATCCTTGTATTGCTGAAGTATCCAGCCAAGTGTCTGTCTGTTAGGCTGTTGTAGGTTGCGAGTGACCTGAAACCAATAAATGAGGTCACGATGGAGACATTATGTAAGCCCAGAGTTTAGTGTTGAAGTTATAAATAATCTATCTGAAATTTAGATGCACAAAGTGTTGTCTTGAAAAATCAATTCAGGCATTTTGTCAGATAAATAACCTTCAAATGTCCCATAGAGGTAACATCCCCCTGTTCCATGAGAGATTTAGATCTTCTCCAGAAATCACTCATCCTGGGATACACAGGCCCTTTGTTTGCTCAACATTAGATAAAATATCAACCAGTAAAGACTGTTTTCACTGTGGACCCCAAGCCACAGTTCTTGCTCAGACAAAATTCCCATGAGATGTCTGCCAGAGTAAGAAATGGCTGGATTTATAGTAGCTTAATATCGTACCCATAGCACCAATGAACATTCAGACATAAGTCATTTGGGGCCAGATTTGGCTGCTTGGAGTTTGAGTACAGTGAGATCGGGCGGGAAGGTATCAATGAGCCAGTTGCAGCTCTCTAATCCCAACATGTCTGGCCCTGGGGCAAGCTAGAGTTACAGAGGAACAGTTCTAATTTGCATCAGTGGAAGATCAAGCATACTAGAAATCTGCTTCCTTACACCCCTCTCCTTGTTTCCAGCACACCTCCAACATGCACCCTCCATCCTTTTACACTGGCGCTGGAAGGGGATGGTGCATAAGGCAGCTATGCTGTCTCTGCCCAATTTATGCAGCCAGAGTTCACCTACACAGGGGGAAAACTCCACTGGCCTTCTCCAGCTGATTTAAGTCTTCTTTGTGCTACTTACCTAGCCCAAAATGGAGCTAGCAGACCAGAGAATCTGCCTCTTTCAATATATACAATTGAAGCAGCAACTTCTAGCCCCACTAAATATAAAGAACATGAGTCTTTCTTTTTCCTCCCGCACCATCAGGTACATAGGGCATCCGCCAGTTTCCACCATTTATTTCAGTTTTGTGCTGATATGTTCAGGCTTCTGAGTATCTTGTTAAGGGATTTGCCTTCTTTCTCTATTGCTCTGCATAACGTTTCTCTAGGTCACGCTCTTTTTCCTCTTTCCAGGTAGTGTCCATATAATCACTACCCATGAGAGTCATGTCGTTGGCATCCTTAAATACTGTTTCTATAATAAACTCTGGACCCTTTTTATTTGTGCTGGTTTGAAAATTAACATAGAAGTTGTCAGTCCAGGATGCAAATTTCTTTTCTAAAAATGGTTGATTAGCTTATGTCTCTACCTTAGCATTCTTCTTGAGTGTTTCTTCTGGAGTTATGAATCCATCTGTCTTTCTAGAGTATCTCTAGTTCTAATTCTTCCACTACTGCAATGCCTATAGATATTACTTGGGACATTTAGTTTAGAAAACTAAAGGTCACAGTTGTGTGTGTCCAAAAGAAGAGCCCAGTTTTTCTCTTTATTTTAAACCACTCTCTCCACAAGGATTCAGCTAAGTGGTTGTTTCCCAGGAGGAAATGTTGCCAGGCCAGCAGGCTACTTCGCTAATGAGGAAAGGCCCATTTAAAGAAATAAGTCCTGCACTGGTCCTTAAAAGTGGCAGAACTCAAGCTCTGTATGGGATGAGATGACTAACTCATGGCAATAGGATTAGTATCTGTCCCACCTATTTGAGGAGCTGTTTAAAAAAATTCAAAGGTACATCAATGCATCTAGAATATATGATTTAAACAAGACACACAAGCCTACATGTCCCATATAAATATGCCTGAATTCATCTGCACAGAATTTGCACTGCATCATATTCACACATTTCATGACATTACAAGATCATGATGCTATGGTACTATGCTTTAGTCTGCACTCACCATATGGCAGCTGTTTGTACTGTTAAAAGTGCAGCTGGTAATGGTGAGATTGCTCCTTCTGTCTTCCCCCACTGTAGCTACAGCCCATTACAGAAAATCATTAGATCCACTCTGCAAGGTTGAGACTCTCAAGCTAAATAAGGAAGTCAATTTACTCCACAAGCCACTGAAGAGCTGGTACAAAAGGCCAACGTGCACACTCATCTCTTATGAGTGTTCTGTCTGCATGAATCAGAATCTGGACCTGACGCTGTACGGACATCCTGAGAACTGTAGACACACATTTTAAACCAGAAGTAGATAATATGAAAGGGAATACTAGGCCTTCCCACTGTCCCCTCCAAAAACTGATATCAAATTTTATTATCATATTTGGAAGATCAGCTTTGTACTCTCCTTGGTCTAGGAACATGCTGCGTGCCCAAGAGGTTGGGCAAGGACCTCATCTAAGGCCAACATTAATACAGAAGAAGACATGGTGAAAGATTGTCACTAGCCTTTCAAGAATGTAAGTGCTACTAGCCTAGAAAGCTCAAGATACAGAACAACCCACCCTGATGTACAATGTGGACCTTGCAAGGAAAAAAGTTAGATATCCCATCCTGTGCTGCACTCTGGCCTTGAGATTTTAAGGAGACCAGCTACCTAAATTGTAAGCTCTTCAGGGCAGAGACTGTCTTTTTGTTCTGTGTTTGTACAGCACCTAGCACAATGGGGCCCTGGTCCATGACTGGAGCTCCTAAATGCTGCTGCAATATAAGTAATAATTACATAAGAACATAAGAGCAGCCATATTGGGTCAGACAAATGGTCCAAGCCCAGTATCTTGTCTTCAGACAATGACCAATGCCAAGTGCTTCAGAGGGAATGAACAGAACAGGAAATTACTGAGTGATCCATCCCCTGTCGTCCACTCCCAGTTTCTGGCAATCAGAGACTAGGGACACCCAGAGTATGGCGTTGCATCCCTGACCATCTTGACTAATAGCCATTGATGGACCTATCCTCCATAAACGTACCTAATTATTTATTGAACACTGCTATAATTTTGGCCTTCACAACATCCCCTGGCAATGAGTTCCACAGGTTGACTGTGTTCTGTGAAGAAGTACTTCCTTTTGTTTGTTTTAACTTGTAATAACTACAATAGATGATTACAGAAGCTAACACTGGGATATTTAAAGGACCCAAGGAAGCTGGATAGCCATATCCCATTGAATTTAAATGGGAATTGGGCTCCTAACTCGCTTAGACGCCAATGAAAAGCTCAGTCTAAATACATATGGCTCAGGTAAGTGAGCAGTAAGGGTGTACATAATAAACATCTACACGTATTTTAGTGTGTGAGCACTAAGGAGGGGAGGATTATTTAGGGTATAATCAAGCTTAGTGGCATTATGATAGTAATAATACACAGCATTTATAAGCATATATGATAGATTAAATATACTAAACTAACATTAATTATTACAGCATCCCTAGGAAGAATGTATATGAGAATCATTTTATAGATGGGAAAACTGAAGCAAAGGGATTTGTATACAGCCACACGAGTCAGCAGCAGAGCCAGTATTATAATTCAAGACCTCCTGACTCCCAACCTGCCCTTACTCATTGATTCCTTATGGGATTAAATATGACAGAAGGAATATGTGGGCTGAATATCAGGAAAATTATTTTCCTTCCAGACTGTGGAACACTAAATAAAGTCCAAGCCAATTTTAGCACACTCTCCCAAGAGAAAAAGGTGGAAAATCCATTACTTGGGACATTTAAAACTAGAACAGCCCACCAAAGAGCTTAAAAATATACTACAGGGAACAAGACACCACTAGCAGAACAGGGAAGAGCTCAAGCGTCAGGTGCACTGAGCTACACTTGATACACAGGAGGGGATAGAGGCAAAGATGCCTTTGCATCACCCATTCTTCCTCCTGTACTGGGGCTGGTTCAGCCCCAGTGCAATGTGAGCAGCTTCACAACTGCTCTAAACTGCACTTGCTTCTAACAGCCCCTTACAGGCCATTGTGCTGGTTCATGATTGATGGCGTGCAAAGTACTTGGGCTACACCAACTTCCGCCCCAATTCATCCCCTACATTAGTGGTTCGGAGGCAGTGTGTCATAGGGCTCCATTTGGGGCAACTTCAAGTCCCCTTCATGTCACTAAAGAAGCACAAAGGGGTCCCAGTGTGGTCCAGGATCTGGTCCAAGATAATTTAACCTAGTGGCTCTCTTTCATCTCTATTTTCTATGTATTAAACATCCTTTTTAATGCACATGACCATCCAGAATAAACCAATGAATGTGTCTCTTGTGTAATAATGAAAAACTGAAAGAACGACAAGTGAAGAAAGATGGTCAGGGAGCCAAGAAATGGGGCTTCTGTGCCTGCCTCTATCCCAGACATGTTGGGTGACCTTGGGAAAGTCTTCACTAAATATAAGCGCCTCCATTTTTGGGTGCGCAGTCTGAGATAACTAGGGGCTGATTGTCAAAGGTACTGAGTGCTCACAGCTCCATTGGAACTCAATAGGAGCTGCAGGTGCTCAGAAGTTCTGAAAATCTAACCCAAGGTGTCCCAACTGGGCACCAAAACCTGAGGCATCTATTAGTAAATAGATATGAAAATTTAGCACCTTTGTTTCTCAGTTCCCCCTTCTGTAAAATGGGACTAGCAATATTTACCTCAAGGGAGGAGAAAGGTTGAGACTAATTAGCTCATTAATATTTGTGTAGTACCTTGGCAGTCTGATGGAAGACGCAGTAGATGTGCAAGGTATTTTGTTATATGATGAATGAGCAATCTGCTGAATAGTTGCGTTTGTTTCAATCTGAGCCGGGGTGTACATTTTTGCCTGTAACTTTCAATTGGTTTAAACAGGCTTCATTTCTATTACACAATGGTGAAGTACTATATACAAAAGAGCTCTCAAGGAGATAGGGGGGAAAAATTATCCTGAGAAAAACATGAGGAAGGTAACAGATTTATCGGCAATATATTTTTTGGTTTCACAATAATCTCACAGGTAGCCTACACCAGACAAATTAAACTTTAAACAAACAATTTAGTTTACCATGTTATGCATGGAGATTAAACACTGGTACTATAGCAACTGTTTTATGTTACTTTCTTTATCCCTTGTTTGCATTTGCATTTGAAACTGCCAGATTATAG